ACCTTTCTCTCTAATTGTTATGAGCTCTCCCATATCCCCCTGGTAATTTGCTTCTCTGCTTGAGTTAAACAGAATTAGATTCTTTCAGCTTAAAGAACCATGTGGATAGAGCAGGATTTTATTTTTAATTATAATAAAATATACTTAACATAAATTTATTTTCTTAACCCTTTTAAAGGTACAATTCAGCAGTGGCAAGTGCATTCACACTGTTATATAATCAATCTCCAGAACTCTTTTCATCTTGCAGAACTGAAACTCTCCCTCAATTAAACAACGCCCAATTTCTTCCTGTCCCCAGCTGCTGGTGATCACCATCCTACTCTCTACCTCTATTTGACAATTCTAGGTGCTTCATGTGAGTGGAATTATACAGTATTTGTCTTTTTGTGACTAGCTTATTTTACCTAGCATCATCTTCTCAAGGTTTGTCCATGCTATAGCATATGTCAGCATTTCCTTCTTGTTTGAGACAATAATATTCCACCATATAGCTACACCATATTTTGTTTATATCAACAGACATCTGGGGCTGCTTGCACTCTTCAGCTCCTGTGAACGCTGATGCTGTGAACATGAGTGTACAAATATCTCTTTGAGACCCTGCTTTGAACTTCTTTTGGGTATCTACCCAGAAATGGGATTACTGGATCATAGGGTAGTTCTATTTTTAATTGTTTAAAGCCCTTCCATACTGTTGTCCAGAGTGCCTGGACCAATTCACATTCTCACTAGCAGTGTATGAAGGGTCCGATTTCTCCACCCTCTCACCAGCCTTTGTTAGTTTCTGGATTTTTTTTTTTTTATAGTAGCCATCCTACATCCTTTTTCTAAATAAATGTTGCACCGAGGACAGCCTCTTATATTCAGAAATGGGTTCTGTGAAATACAATAGAAAATTAAACCCCAGCCTAAATCTCTGGGGGAAGAGCTGCCTGGCTCTCCAAACTTTTTTTGTTGCTGTTGTTGGCTCTCCAAACTTCTTAACTGCCCTTGCTTCTACATTTGCTTTCTCTCATGATGAGTCTGCTAACCATTTTAGAAAGGGCTTAATTCATTCCATGTTAATAATTTCAAAATGTAGGTTTGGGGTAAATCTTTTTTTTTCCCAAAAGGGTAAGGAGGAAACTCAAGCCACCTGCTATGAATTTGCAAACAAGATTACTGAGGCTCTTCTCTCATTAAGGAAGCATTTAGGATCATTCAAAAAAAGCACTGGTATTGCTGGTTCTGACTTGAGATAACCTGAATAGAAAAAGCTTGGAACCCAGTGCTTGGCACTCACCTTTCAAACTCTTTACAGCCAAGATTCAGACGCCTAAGTGTCTCCTGGGCACATTTGCATCTCTGACAGCTTCACTCTCTGTGGGCATATTTCTTTGATTTGGAACATTCCTTTTTGGATTTTCGTTAGCTGTGCCTAAATCAGGAGGTCTGAGACTCTTGGCTAAGACTGGGCTAAGGAGCCAGACACCCCTGGAAGGTCAGCCAGCCAGTTCCCAGCTGGTTCCCTTTGAGCAAGGTCCTTAAACTCTCTGAGCTCCGGTTTCCTCATCTGTGAAACAGGAGAAATGCTGCCCATTTCAGGCCCGCCGTAATGACAACTGAGGTCATGAATGTGCCCATTCCCAGCAGGACACTGACAGAAGAGGCAGTTAAAAAATGGAGAACTCATTTATTCTGTATAGAAATAAGATTGGTTGATGGACATTATCTGAAAATAAAAATATGAAGGTGCCTACTCTTTGAAGATGCTTTCTTGACTATCCTTAAATTTTTTGAGAGCTCTCAACAATTATACTGAAAACTTATGTTTTCAAAGGGCTGAGCTTTACTTTTCAAAGATACATATTTGTTCAAGAAATATCTCTTATTTTTTTTCTAGAAAACATCCACATCTACTTCCGTATAGTCAAGTAGATTTCTGTCACATCCTAATATTTTTCTCTTAGCATGGTGTCTGTAGATACACATATGTATACACATACGGGTAGATACATGCAGATATTATGTCTCCTTAATTACTACCATGAAAATTCCAAAATGCTTTGCCTGTGCAGAACTCTTACCAAATATTTCCAAAAACGTATTTTGATTTTTGGACATTCACAGAAACCCAATGCAGTAGCAGCAGAAGCAAGTATTATGACCCCGGTTTCATAGATGAGATTTTGAGAGGTATGTGACTTGCCCGAGACCTCAAAGCCAGTGAAGCGGCGGAGCCAGAACTCAAACCCAGGCCTTGGGTTTCCAAATCCAATATTGTCTCTGCCGTATCTCACCAGTCCCCATAGGGGGGGCACGCGGTGGAGGACTGCTGGCGAAATGAATGGAAAAAACAGCAGAACTGTAAGGCTTGAAAGCCTTTTTGGAATGCGGAGGGACTAAGTATCAGCAAACAACTGAAATGTCATGCTCAAAGCCTATCAAGAATTTAGTAGCATTGAGAGTATTCAAATGGCTGCTGAATTTATAGGTATATTCTTTAAAAGAAAGAAAAATGTACAGCATATTCCAGATCCCCACTTTTCTTATGTCCCCAGTATTAGATTCTTCTTCTTTATAGATCAGATTTATAGCTTACGTAGATTTCCTGAATGCTTTTCCTTGTACACACTTTCTATTTAAAAAAAATCAATATTTATACCCTATATATTTAATTCTTATATTTATACCCGATATATTTAATTCCTTTACTACTGACATGTAGGAAGAATGGGGGGATTCTCTTTGTATCTGGCCGTGTGGCTAAGAATGAGTAAATGAATGAAGAAATTAGTTTGGACCTATTTCTAGGTGTCATACTTATTTATTCTTCAGGCCTTGTTAAAACCTCTATAGTTAGCCAAAGTTGAAATTCCCATATTCTAAAACAATCAACATTTATTTAAGGAGCAAAAAGTATTCCTAATTGCTCCCCAACCAGAGAATTTATCATATGGAAATGCCATTCCTCACATTTCACCACTGCATATACATATATGAACACACAAAATCAATTTTGTGCATGAAAATTAAAATTCCACTGCTTGCATTAGTGAATATCAGAAAGCTTCAATCTTTAACAAAATTGAAATAGTTGAAGAAATTATAGTATATCAAACCTGAAGGAGTATGAGGCAACTAAATTATTAATGTGAAGAATTTGTAACAACATGCCTCGACGTTCTTCTGTCACAGTAAAGAAAGAAAACACAACATTATGTCTCCACTCAGATTATAACTATAAAAAATGATATTTTGCATGTGGACAGAGACTTAGAAGGAACATAGAAAAGTTAAAGGGTTTTGTTGGGTTTTTTTTTGTCTTATGAATCAGTTAAGAGTATTTGTGTAATTAAAAACAAAAATTGAAATCATCACAATTTTTAGGATGCACGATGTAAAGCTGAGTAGAAAAACAGTAGGTCACTATCTGTCCTAACTAGAATGGGTGCTGTGGACGTGGAGTAAGACCCAGGGCCCTGCGGCCTCGCACATGAGCCCTGACTTTGCCCTGCACAGGGAGGGTTCAGAATAAATCAGAGTCCCAATTCCCTGTGGGTCAAGGTCTATTCCTATGTCATCTCAAAACAATACACACATATTTGACATGCCATGTATCTCTCAGAGCATCAAGTCCCCAGACATCATATCTTTAAATCATTGGATCCCTATGAGAAACTAAAATTGCACAAGAAGGAAAAATATCACACAGTGGGAAAAATAACCAGTTTTGTAAGTCTTTATTTTTTAGTTGCTCCTCCCATAGTAATGCACTGAAAGGCATAACAGTTTATATTGTACAAAGCATTTGAAGAAAGTACCTCAACTTGCCGATTATTTCAAAATGAGATTACAAACAAACAAACAAACAAAAAAAAAGAAAACAAATCTGGTTCTTCAATAAAGGGCAAAATAACTGAATACAGTCTGTTATTTACTTCTCTCTTTTAACATAAGGTCTGGAACACTTCATTTTACAAATAGGATTAACATGAACATAACATCGCACAAGCTTGCAGACGACCAGCATAAAATATGGGGTACAGTTTTTAATCAGAAGAATCATGCTTTCATGAAAGAAATTATAATTGTTTATACAATTGAATCGATTTCAGTATTACAAAAACTAAGTTGCATCTATTCGTATTTAGCTCATTAAGAAGGAAAACAAAAGAACAACAAAAAAGGAATGTTAAGAAAAGCCAAACACCATTTGGCACTCCCATACACAGGTCGAGTCACCTTGGTCCTTGCAATTCAGACAGGGGCGTGCCTCAGACGTCAGAAAGTAGTGGCTGACTGGAACAGTGCTATTGTAATCAACAAACGATAGTTTGCCAACAAATAAATACATGATACACGCAACACACACAAAAATTAAACATTAAAAAACAGTGACATGATTGTCTAAAATTAAGATGTTATTACAAGGATTTGGCAAACGTTTTATTAGTGTAGTGGTACAGCGGGACTGGTGATGAACAGGTTACTTCACTGACTTAAACTCTTTGAGCGCTGGAACATCCATAGTTTACAATATACACATACCCTTTTTCCCTAGTTTTACACAATGTACTTAAGAAGGCAAAAGTTAATGGGGAACGAGGACTCCCTGTTATCAGTTTCTATAATAATCGAGTGTGCATTTCATCCAACTACTTCCATCTTCAAAGGGTTAAATTACATAAAACTTTAACAAAGGAAAAAAATCAAATCTGTAATTAAAAAAAGCAACTGTTCCCAATCATGTGGCAGGTGATCTTGTACAAAAAAGAATTCAATTTCTATGGAGTGTTCATTCGTGTCAATGCTGCCATCCCCACCGCCCTCGTGCCCACCCACAGCCCAGGGCAGGGCGGACCAAGACGCCTCCTGCCTGCAAGTTGCTCATTCTCATCGAATCACGTTAATAACGTTGCATTGACCTTCCAGAAGTCAGCAGCTGCCTTTGCTGTGCAAAACAAAATATCGAGAATAAATAGTTTCTTTTTTTTCTTTTCCTTTCTTTTCCTTTCTTTTTTTTAAGCATTCAGTTTAAGGTCACCAGACTTTAAATGAGTGACCCTTCAGGTTTCTAAGGCATTCTGCTCAGCAGTCTTTTAAATAGTCCTAGATGAACGAGCCATGCTACTGTTGGACTTGGTCCCACTCTGGTCGACCTTGGTAATGTCATACGTGGCTTATGGACTGGATGGCACTGGATTCCGCCGCAGCCCTTGCCATACTGTGCCACACGTTGGAAGAACTGTGGGATGTAGAATGGAGGGACTCCTTGTCGGACAATGACAACATCATAGCATATGCCTGGGGTAAAAAGGAGAGACTCGGTAAGTGGCGCTGGAAAACATCACTTTTAATTTGAAGAATGTTGCTGGTGCATGTTATGGGGGGACGGGACTCTGAGTAGGAGGGTCCCTCATGGGTGTGTTTGGAAAAGCGTGGAGCCCCTTTTTGTCGTCGTAATGATGTGATGTTACTGCTGGCCTTCAGTGCCTAGGGGCCACAAAAGTACATGTCCTACAGGACCAAAAAAAAAATGAATTGTCCTACCGAAAATGTCAATAGCGTCTCCACTGAGAAACACAAGTCATCCCCCTGTCTAAGCATAAATACGTCATCCATCCACTGTTCATGCACCTGTTCAAGTCACCAAAAATATTATTGTGTGCTTATGACCAAAACTGCAAATATGAATGGGATATAGACCTGCCTTGATGGCACTGGGGTCTAGTAGAGGACACGGTCCCACTGACTCCTGCACTTTCTGAGAGAGCTGAAGGTGACATGACTTGCCCCGAGTCACTCAACTAGACAGTGGAGGAGGCAGAAGCACAACTGATTTCTGCCCTACTTTGAATCCAGCGTCCTTTCTCTGGTTTCCCTCCATGTTTGAAATATTCAAAGCTGACACTCAAAGACCTTGTGAGGTCAGGTAAATCAAGTTAGCTCTACCAAAAAGTAAAACACAACACAAGACCCAACAACGTTCTAACCAACTTGTACTCCAAGGTCTGCCAAGCAGAAGGTACCTGGCGGTGCTCTGTGAAGAAGTGATTTTTTTTTTTCCCTATTATCATGTCAATTCTAAATAACTGTTCAGAGAATCTCCCATTTGCTGCCAAGTAAAATAGTCAAATGAAATGTTTGGTCTTGACTTGTGCGTGAACTTTTCACTGTTGATTTGCTATTGTTGGTCTCATCCACTGCTAAACTTGCTTGTCAAAATGCTGCTGCAGTGGAATCATTAAAGTCCTGCCAAAGACATTCCACTGTCTGTAAACAAAGACAAAATGCCTCTGTTGTTAAGCAGAATTTCATCTCTGAGAGTCATGCTGAGACATGTGGCCAATCTGTGGTTTCTTCCTTAATCATGGCATTCGGTTAGAAAATCTGCTCTTGTAGGCTGCTTGTGATTTGCTGGGTCATTGCTCTCAATGTACACATCTGACTTTTATGTACGCAATTTGCCTTCTACAAAATCTCAACAGACATATAACAAATATCTCTTAAGCATCTACTCTCTGCCAGGCACTGTGCTAGGTCCTAGGGAAACAATGGTAAGATAATATACAGTCTTTATCCTTTAAAGAGTTTAAAATATGAGTGAGGGGAGCATTGAACTTTATTTTTATCAGGTACCCACTTTCAGAGATCAAGATAAAGAGTATTCTGAAATGGTTTTAACAAAACCTATTCCAATATTTGGAAAAATGAAAGGAAACCTAGAGAAAATTTCGAGACTCCTGGCTTCTAACTGGCCTCTTCAACTAGCTGTGTGACCTTGGGCAAGTTCCTTAACCTTTCAAGGTCACTTTCCTCCTACCAAATGGGGATCATAATAACAAAAACTTGCCTCCAAGGGCTGTGAGGGAATTACAAGCACTAACTAACATAGAGTGCTGGACATAAATAGTACCCATTATCATGAAATTAATTTTTAGAATAGGAACTTTCAAAAGAGGATTCTATGCTGAAGGCAGCCACTGTTGTATTGTTCAACTATCTTGGATTCAGTCACTATAAAAATCACACAGTAAATATATGAATGTTTGAGTAAGTCATCTACCTCTACTCAGATTCTAGAAAATGGTAAATATAGAGTATTTGCCTTTTGGTAATCAAACAAAATAAACATTTTTCACGCACAAAGATCACCTCCCTGCACACCACTGACAGTGAATAACAACTGAATGAGTGAATAAAAAGTCTCATGAAATAAAGTTAGTTTGCAAAAAGGCCTGACCATATTTAAACTGATATATATGACATGATCAAGTAGCATGAAAAATACGAGAAATACGCTAGTATTTCTTGTGATGGTAATTGTTAGTCCAGCTGGGCAGGGATTTTATGTCAAAATGCTGGAACTGAAATAGATCACATCTATTATCTCGGGGTTCTCTGACCCTTCTACTTTCAATCATTCCTGATAGCTTCAGGAATTTTTAGGTACTGTGTCTTATAAGCATTTTGGTGGAATAATTAAAAGAAATTAAAAAAAAAAAAAAGGAAGGAAAGCCTGAATCCCCCAGTATCTCTCTGATCAGTTAGGAAGGAAGTATGGGATACCAAGGGTTTTAAAAAAATACTCACTACCTCTAATGGTTATGTCCAGGTAAAAATGAGATGTCTACTCTGGCTAATTTACTTTTAATGTTAGAAACTGAAAAATTAATTTTGATCCCCATTGAATCATACAGCAGGAAGAGCTCTTAGATATGGCCTCCAGTCACCCCACTTTACAAAGAAGTGGTACCCGCAATCATGAAGTGATATTCTTAAAGTTCATGCAGCTAGCAACTCTGGTGCTGAGGCCAGCTTCTTTTACTTCAATGCAAAAGAACATTCATTTTGCCTATTAGCATACATGGTACCTTAGATTTTTACTGAATTGACTGAGAGTTAAAAATTGGTATTATCCCACTAGCACAATGTTTTTCCCACCTTAGTTGAGATAAGACCACATTTGCTGCTAAGAGCAAATGGCTAAGGCCAAACCATCTCAGCCAAACAGGAAAGCATTTCTAAATGTACAAGCCAATGCAGTCACGTGGTCTGCTATGTCAGGCCACCTACAAAATGGGCTCACGATCAATTAGACCAAAGTGACCAACAAATATGGTAATAACAAGAAGTTTTCTTTTCTTCTTCTTTTTTTTTTTTTTTGATTGACCTGAGTGAAATGAACAACATGGTTGAGTAGGGATGTCAGCAGAAAATACTGACTTCCTTTATTTTGTGATAAAAGAAATGAGGCTCTTTTAATTGGTATTTACAGATCCTTAAATGGATTTATTTTTGTTTCCACAGTGCTGATAGAATGCCATAGAGCCCAATGAACGTGGGTACTGTTCATTCATTCTTTCAATTAAAAATTAATCAGTTTTATTTCCAGATCTGCAGGTAAGTTGCTGCAGACTTTGGGCAACCCATTTCATCTCTGATCCTCAGTTTACTCCTAAAAGCTATAATTAGATGACTTGTTAATTAACTACATTTAACAAAGGACCAAAAAAAAAAAATGGAGGGCAGGATTCACATTTCAGAAGTCTGGCAATATAATTAGGTTGACAAGAATTACAGAGGCAAAGCAATTAGAAAATCACTCTGAAGTCACATAGAAATAGGTGCAAACATTATGGACTATCTCTACAGAAGGAAGAGATTGCAAAGTAAAGGAAAAGCTACTGGAAGAGAAGGTTTCATGGAAGCGTCTGTGCGGAGGGCAGCCATGTTCACGACTGTATTGGTTAACCATTTTGGATTTGGTCATAGGGTCAAGGTAGGAACGTTTTGAGTAAAGCATCTGAACCTGTTCAGATTCTAGAGTATTGCCCAGAGAGACTATCTGCCTTTTGGCGCCCGAGGCACGATGTTGCCATGATGCTGTGCTGCAGGAGAACATGTACCTGTGATTTGGACTTTCTGTGTAACGGCTGTTTAAGTTCCTCCGGCACATGGGAAGCACTAAAAGAAGACAGCTCAGCTTCAGTATATTGATTATCTTCCAGTTTCCTCATTTTGAGGCTATCTGTGAAGTGCCTTATATGATCTAGAGCAGAAAGTCCAGTTTTATATTCTTCCTCTTTATACCTAAAATGAACCAATGGGAAAGCACAGAGGGTTTTTTTTTTTCTTTCTCAGTTTGTTATCCAACCAAATCACTTTTCATCTGAATCCATACAGCTGTCAAACTTCGTATTATATTTGCAGTATCAAGAAGCATGCATCCATTACTGGGTTCTTTAAAGTGTCTACACATACTGTATCTTAAAAACACGTTTGTTTTAAGACTCTTCATAACTAAAGCAAGTGTACATAAGAGGTAGAGTTAAAATCAACAATGTGGAGTCAGCAATGCAGTGGAGATACAATTTATAGGTTTATAATGTCCATTTAAAATAAAGTCAGTGATGATATTTAGTGAGCACCCATTCTCCATATGAAAATAGAATATTCCTATAAATTTAACTATTTGGTTCATTTTTTTCCATTTAAAAATCTACCTGTAGAGGTTACATACATATCAAATTAAGTGAACTCTATCTCGCTGTTTGACTAATAACGTACCAGATTTTTGAATGAATTAGATAATGTTGAAATCTCTATTTTTCTTTGAGTTTTACAGGTCGAGTCTAAATAAATGATCGGGTACTTGTCTAATTTTCATTTATTCTTCCCATTTCAGATTAATCAGGTTCCACAAATACCGATGTATTTGTATTCTTGTGGATTATGTTGATGGCTACCTTGTTTTCACCTATTCAAAATGAATCCACCAAATATGCCTTGCTAATTCAAATGTACTTTTAATGATTCGTTACTCATCAACTTCCATGTCCTGAAATATTGCCCTAGTGGAATAATGGAAAAACAGAGCAGAAGGAATTGCAACCATATATGTATCTACTCCTACTTATTTACTAATGTCACCCCAGGCGCTCACCTCACTGGGGACGTTTTGCAACTCATCTCCAGGGCGCTGGCTTCTTCATAGTCATCCTCAGGGTTTCCTTCATGTAAATTGCTTGTCCCTGGTTCTTTTCCCGTTTTTCCAGTAATATCGTTGTCGTCATCCTCCTCATCTAACAACACCTCATCTTCTACTTCTTCATCATCCAATAAATCTGAATTTTGGCTCGTTACCAAAGCTTTCTCATCCTTAAAATGGCTGCCGTTCATTCTTTCAAAAGCATAAAAAAAGAAACAGGTCCCATTATTGGTTTCATTTTTAAACGTGCAGTTAGCTCTCTTCTCATGTCTTCCCAACAACAGTTTAGATTTTCAGCACTTCTATAGTAAATTTTTATTATTTATGCTTTATGGCAACCATGGGAAAGTAATGTCACTTCACAAATGAGAAAATGAAGAAAACAATAATTGGGTGATTATTCAGAGGATAAATGGGGCTTCTGGCAAAGCTGGAAAAACAGTCTCAGGCTCCTATTCTTTATCCGACCTTTGCCTGATAAATGCTATTGTTATAGATGATATTAAAAGCCTACAAATGTTTTTTCTACATAATGTTACCTAATTACCATATAAGTGCCCACCATTTAAAATAATAGGTTTCTGGAAAATTCATATCGCTGAACAACACTGATAAAAACTGGAACACACACGCCTAAAGTGAATCTAGGAGTTCAAAGAAGATGTTAAGATGGCTGTGAGGGACCACGCCGTATTTGATATTTCTAGGTGACATTTGTGGTGTACGCCACTTAGACATCCTGCTCAAACTTGGAAGTGATTGAAAGCTCACTTATTTGTACTGTTTTCAAATTATCCTTGATGGTCTGAATGTAAAAAAGTTCCCTGTTTCCCAGAAGAACATCGGGGTGGGCAATTATCTAAAAATGCAATTGTGCAAGTATTTTCTGAAGCTTACTTAGCATGCATGTCTAATGTGATACAAAAGAAGAATACTATATTTTAAAAGTCATTTGCAATACTTTAGTTTGTGGTCACAAGGATTGTAGTATGTGATTCAAAAGTTTAATTATAAAAAAAGATTTAATTACATAGAAGTCCCAATTTAATATATTTGAGAGCATTTATAAAAGTAGGACAAATTTCTCAGGCTTCAAAAATAAACATAAAGAATGTATAAATTGAGGGTTGCCTGGGTGGCTCAGTCGGTTAAGCTCCTAACTCTTGGTTTCGGCTCAGGTCATGATCTCAGGGTTGTGAGATCGAGCCCCCATGTCAGGCTCCACACTCAGCTCAGAGTCTGCTTGTCCCTCTCCTTACCCCTGCTTCTGCTCTACCTAAAATAAATAAATAAAATTTTAAAAAATAAAAAGACTGTATAATTGAATTTGTTTCATTGTAATACTTAAAAGTCAAAATTAACTTAGTTCCAAATTAACTACAAATGCTTTGAACTACAGAGTATCTCCTCCTAACCTCCTCTTTTTAAATATATATGACCAGGGAAGTTAAGGCACTTCCCCAAGTTCAGAAAGCTTGTTGAAATTTAAGTTATTGCTACAGAAATGTACGCTATTCACATTAATGGAATTATTTTTCAGCTTATGGAAGCTCAGGTATCAGCAATGTACCCCATCACTTCCCCATGTAAAAAAAAAAGAGTATAATTTAATATTTAGATTTTTCAGGGCAAATAAATAAATAAACAAAACAATGTTGGGTGTGACAGATGCACATAGTTAAAAATCTTAAAACCAGTCGTATTATCATTATTAACCATTTTATACAGCCAATCTCTTAACGACTTTTATCAAAGAATGATGAATACGTGTTTTGCACAGACATGAATTATTAGTTTCCAGATACACTGCCAACTTGCTAGCTTGAATGGATTGAAACTGTTATTTTTTAAAAATGAAAGAAAAAGTAAAAGAACAAAAGAATGCATGGATGAAAACCAAAAGTAACAAAGCCAATATGATTAAGAAAACCTATTTGTTAATTATGCTTTCAAATGTGGCAATTTATGGGGGATAAATTATTTATCAAAAGTACCCCCGGTAGGAGTTGAGGGGGGGGAAGTGGCTCAATCTTCTTACTTCTGTGCTGTTTGGACATGTTGAAGCCAGATGTCGTAGCTATATGCAGGCTCACAAATCTCCAAGTAAGGGCTAGAAAATCTGAAAAGGCATCTCAGAACCCAAATGGTGGTTTTTGTTCAACATTTCTTATTTGTATCATGTAAATGTCGTTATCAAAACGTAAGACGGTGACTCTCTCACTCGTTCTTACTACTGTGTATTTCTGACCATCTGCTCATCTCCTTCCCTCCCTCCTCTCTCTCTGTGTCTCTCTGTGTCTCTTTTACACACACGTGTGCACACACACACACACAAATGGGCAAGCAGAGGAAAAGATACATCCAATTGCACAAAGTCATAGCTCTTATCAGACTTCTTAGAAGATGGGAAGGGCCATGTAATAGCAGATCTCCTCTCCTTTTTCCCCTAAATAAGTTGAAGAGCAGAAGTGGCCATAAAATTTTGTTATCTGAGGAAATAATGCTTATTTGAAGCTTGGCTTAATGTAAAAACCACCTAAAACAATTGTTCGACTTTTAATAGCATCAAAAAATAGAGGACTCTAACAATAATACTGGTGTGATGAAAAGTAATAGAGCTTTCTCATTAATTTCATTTGACGTTAAAATTGACTACACAGCATCCTAATTGATTAGGCTTTTGGATAGTTATGTTCAAAAAAATCTAGTTCTCAATATCAGGTATTTAATTATAATTTAGAGATAAGAAAAATTAAATCTGGTAGTTTTGGTAAAATAATGTTTCATTAACATCACATAAAATGTAAATACTAGGTAAGTGTTAATTATTATTATCAGCAGCATTAAAAGTTTTTCTTTAGGGATTGAGCCATATACACTTGATGTCGATGATGACAAGTGGTAAGCAGGGCACCAGGTCACTAAAAACAAGGATAATCATACCCACGGAAACAAGCATGCCGGAATTAAATGAATATCCACATGAGAGCCTATAGGTAGTGACAGAATCAGATCAAGAAGTCTCAGCTGCTTTTTAGGTAAAAGATATTTAAATGATATTCAATAGGTATTTTATATATAGACATGTACACATATACACAAAAATGTGTGTATATATATATATAATATATGTGCATGTATACACACACACACACACACACACACACACACACAGGTATATATAGATAACGTTATCTGTAATATACACATGATATATAATAGTAGCCACTACTGAATCAACGGAATCCCTGTGGTGGCTTTCCTTTCTGCTTGGCAAGTTTTGATAAAACATTCTAATTAGTTATCAAGAGAAGCAGAACAGAACGGTGGTAAAAGCGTGGGCTCTGGAACCAGACGGCCCAGGTGGAATCCCATTTATTAATCACTTGTGTGGCCTCTAGCCATAACCTGTGATATCGCTCTTCCTTCACTGATAAAATTACATAGTAATAGTCGCTGCCTCATAGGGCTATTATGATAGTTAAATTAGCTCATACACGGGAAGCGCTTAGAAGAGCATTTGGTATTTAATCTGCACCAAAGAAATGCCAGCCACCACTGGTAGGAGTTACAGTAGTGTCATGAAAGTGAGCACAGCAAATCTCTTCAGAACACGCTGATTTCAGAAATGAGAGAGTTTAAGAAGCTTTACCTCTCCTCTGTGTTCCTGGGAGACTGGCTGCTGTGGTTGCTATTCCCAATGAAATTGCGGATTTCTGTGAAGTAAGCATCTTCTTTGTCATCGAGAATCGCGCCTGTACTTTCCAGTTCGGAATGAGGCGACGATGTTGCCGTACCTGAGGGGAGAGAGCCTCTTGAGAAAAAGACGGCCACTGAGAGGGCAACTTATTTTTTTTTAAAGATTTTATTTATCTGACAGTGAGAGACACAGCGAGAGAGGGAACACAAGCAGGGGGAGTGGGAGAGGGAGAAGCAGGCTTCCCACGGAGCGGGGAGCCTGATGTGGGGCTCGATCCCAGGACCCTGGGATCACAACCCGAGCCGAAGGCAGACGCTTAACGACTGAGCCACCCAGCCCATGGGGGCAACTTATTTTGAAGCTCGTTCCTTCTTCATTTGATCGGTGTTTCCTAAAACAGGCTCTTCTGAATATTAATAATGGTAACTTCAGGAGGCCAGTGTCTTCCCATATTACCACATGCATGCTGACGGAAGTCCCTTGGGGAATATTCTGAACCACTGAAGTCATGAGGTATAGTCCCCCAAAGATGTCTCGCCCACAGCTTCCTCCCTTTGCCACTGTGACATGAGAACATTTTCGTTCACATAACGAGGATATAGGGTGAGGCAAATTATAAAGAAGTCTTAAATAGATCCTGCCAGAAGAAACTGTACACTCAGTCCTGGTTGCAGTCTATCTGTATTTATTGCTCCTGTGCTAAAGCACCTTACCAAATAAAGACTGAAAACATACCAAAAATTCTGTATTCTCATTTGGTGAGTGAGGCAGTGAGTAGACTCAACACACCAGCCCAGAGACTGAGGTGGGACAGCATTAAAAGGACAATATGGGATCTGCTGATTAGAGGATGATCTTCAGCTTCCTTACCTATAAAATTAGAATCAGAATACCTTCTCACAGGATGGTTGTGAGGTTTTTATAAATTTACACAACTATAGATACCTTATATGTGGTCAAATGTACACCAACACTTGCTTCATGCTGTTTACCTTTCCCACAAGATATCTACAATCTAACAGTTCATCCTAATAGTCTATAGATGAACAAAATAAGAAGGAAAAACATCTCTCAGCTGAATAAAGTTATAATCTGGGTCAACAAATAAGTATTGAACTTGGACATGTCACATTTTTAACTCCTTTAAGTATTTTCCAAAATACTTTGGTTGGGGCTCCTGGGTGGCTCAGTCGGTTACGCAGCCAACTCTCGATTTCAGCTCAGGTCATGATCTTGGGGTCCTGGGATCGGGGCCCACATCAGGCTCTTTGCTCAGCGGGGAGTCTGTTTGAGATTCTCTCTCTCCCTCTTCCACTCCCTCTCCCCTGCTCTCTCTCTTTCTCTGGAATACATAAATAAATCTTTAAAAGAACAAAACAAAAACTAAATATGTTTGATTAGAAAAATTATGGGATTATACCATAAGGGTGCATATGGTTGGAAAGTGTGGCCAAATTAGACTTTGATTGCTTTATAACTTCTGTCTCTAAAATTTGGTATCTTTAGACCACAATCATTTGACTTTTGGCTTAGATGGAAATGAACAGTAATATAATTCTATGTAGTAGCCCCCCAAGGTCGTCAGCCATGTGCCTGTGTACAGGGGAGGAAGGATTAATAATAAAATAATTTCCTTAAGTAAAATAGCTACTCTGTACAACTTCAACTTTTCCCTGTTTTTAAAATCTGTTTTCCTGAACCCCGTGCTTGCTCCTTCTCTTGCCCCCAAGTCATTTTCCTGATTCTCTTGAAACAAATTATGGCTGCACAGTGTGGCTCCAAACACATAGGCCAGTTGGCAAATATTAATTCATGATTTATTATCTAACTCTTAGAAGCCAAAGGCAAGAAAAACTACCATCTCTTCTGCTAACTATGTGCTGGCAGATCTGAGTTAAGGGAAGGTTAGTTTTTGTTGTTGTTGTTGTTGTTTTCTTTTGCCACTTTTAACTCAAATCTACATCAGAATTTGTGACCCAAACCACACACCACTATGGGTTGCTCCGATCATGTCAACAATCTTCTATCACTAATCTCTGAAAAGTTACCCTGGGGATGTTCTCTGAACTATAGGACCTCTGCAGAAACAGCCATGGTATCTAAGTTAATATTCAGAGCATGATATTCTGGGGCTGCCACTTTGGAAATTCTGCCATGCCTAGAGGCCCCATTCTGCACCAGTATGTGGAAAGATTGTTCCCTGCAATTTAGGAAATCCTGATTCATAAGTCTCGTATGAGACTGGGTCATGGTTCTCTTTGTTTGAGATTACCCATTGAGATGAATCCAGAATAAGAAAACAATCCAAATAAGGCCCTGAGTTGTATATTATTCAACAATCACATCATTCTGTACTCTAAAGGGAAACACGCTGCAAAATTTAGGATCTGTTTCTGGTGTCAAAGTGGAAGGAGAGAAGAAAGATCACAATTATCTCTTTTCTTAAAAGTAGAGTTGCCGTACAATATTATTCATGATGATCTTAGCCATCTTCTTCCTTATAATGCAACTGATTACCTACCAGACATGTTCCCATTCTCATGTTTCTTTAGGTGTCTGTCTAAGTTGGTTTGTTGACCAAAACACCTATCACATAAGTGACACTTAAAGGGCTTCTCCTTATTGTGGATGTTACGAACATGCCTCTGCAAGTTGGAAGAGATGCTAAAGGATCTGTCACAGTATTTGCATCTGAAAAATAAGCACAGAGAAAATATTTGCAAGCAAATTGAAAAATATTTCTCAAGACTAGTAAGCCAGATATCCAAAATTATCACCCATAAAATATTTTAGAGAAAAGGCAGAGGCAAGAATACTATTTGCACAGCCAAGATTTCAATTCCAACAGACTTTGATTCCATTAAAGATTTTCATGACTTTATGAAAAACCATAGTAAAATATTGACCATTTCATTGGTCCCAAATTTATTAGAGTCATCAGTTTTCATGTTTTTGATAAACTTCACAAAATTAAGGACATTAAGAAATAGTAGCATGGTTTTACCTTCTGCTTAGGACAATACCAATAAATCCTTTGTAAACAAACATGAAACAAATTCATGTATTCTTCAAATAAAGTAAAAAGATCATTCTTTTTTTTTAAAGATTTTATTTATTTATTTGACAGAGAGAGACACAGTGAGAGAGGGCACACAAACAGGCGGAGTGGAAGAAGGAGAAGCAGGCCTCCCACTGAGCAGGGAGCCCAATGCAGGGCTCGATCCCAGGACCCTGGGATCATGACCTGAGCCGAAGGCAGACGCTTAACGACTGAGCCACCCAGGCGCCCCATAAAATGATCATTCTTAAATTCAAAATTGCAGAGTCTGATTAAACAATTTCTTAGTAAATTCACTTCCTCAATTGATAATCCTAAAGAAACTTCCATTATCTTCTCAAAAAGAGCAGTAAAGATTCCAAACCTTTAAAACTGAGGCAATGTGAATAGTTTATCTCGATATCGAAGATGCTGATTTTCATAATCTGTAGTGATTACAAGCCCCCAGAACCTTTACTCCAAAAACCTTTAAACTGTGTTTTTTTAAGGATTTATTTATTTATTTATTTATTTATTTATTTATTTATTTGAGAGAGCGTGTGCATGGTGGGGGGGGGCAGAGGGAGAGGGAGAAAGAGAGAAGCAGACACCCTGCTGAACGTGGAGTCTGCTGCAGGGTTCAATCCCAGGACCATGGGATCATGACCAGAGTGGAAACCAAGAATCAGATGCTGAACTAACTGAGCCACCCAGGCATCCCCACCTTCAAACTGTTAAAAAAGAAAGTAAGAATGGCATCAAATTCTCCTTTCAGAATAAAATAAAGGTCTTCATTAATCTCTGCTTTTCCTATTCCCCTCAATTTTCCATTTCTGTCCTTACAGAGTTTGTGGCATTTCTGAACCAGGTTGGTTTTCCAGGAAAACACTTATTATTGGTTGGCTAATTGTTTCTGCCTTCTATGTGATTTAAAAAAAGTCATAAGGTATTTTGAAGTTCTCCTTTATTCATAAATAAAAATGTAACCCCTCACTGCCTACTCCTCAGCTCTTATGGATAAAGAAGAAAAGTGGCAATTTATGGGGTATTCTCCTTTGGCATTTTAAAGTAAAGATTACATTATTTGTTTGTGTGGCTTTTTTTGTATGTGTGTTGCTTGAAAAAAAAAAAAACATGAGCTTTCTCTAGATGACTTTTAAGTGAAAATTTTTAACCTAGCAGCCAGACAATCTTTAACTTATTCTTCCATATGTGAAGGGCCCTTCTCCTTCCACTTCTGAATGTAGACTCAGTGGTTCAAGTGCTCTATATCAGAAATCACCCCATTCCACTCGAAGTGTTTGGGTTTCTACGGCTGTCTCTACGTGATGCCAGAAGTCTAGCTAGTTCAGTGGGGAAAATAAATCTGTTAAACTAGTTACTCTGGCATAGTATCAATAAACCGACTCAAGGACTGATTTAGTTTTTCCCCCTTAAAAAACTGCCCTGGCATGATGAGGCTCCTCAACTTTCCTCACTTACAATACTAATTTAAAAGTGCGTGAAACCCCATATTCATTGTAGTTGTAGTATTTTAGCCTCTGCTTTTGAAAAAAATATATATGTGAGTCATGACCTTCTCTGTAATAACTCTGTTGACTCCCAAGGCCTACTACAATGAGAATAATGATACAATTAGCACAATTGTGTTGTACCGAGCAGAACAACCTAGAAAACACTGCTAGAGAAAACTTACACTCCCATCAAACATTTTTCACTCAAAACATTTTCTACACACATCATGAATTAGAGAGATTTTTGTCTTTGACATGCTTCCAGCTTTCTGCTTGTATGCAAAGGGACTTTTCCAAGTCTAATAGACATCATCTACTCTAACAGCGATAAAATCGGCCAATAAGAACATTCTACATAATAATCATGGTTTTGAGTGCTCCTGAATAAAAAAAATCATTGCATTCTGCTCCAATAAATTAGTTGGTAGTTACGAGCCTAAGTTTCAAAAATTCTTTAAATTAATACATACATCATGAGCAATACACTCATTAAGAATTTGGATGTAAACACAGGGGTCATGGGAGCCTTTGAGATCATGGTGTGAGATAAAACTCTGACACGGGAGGTCCAAGTCTGGGTTTTAATTCTGGATCTTTTAATACCAGGCTTTACAGAAGGCAATTAACATCTGTGCATCTGAATTTCTTCACTTGTAAAACAGAGGAGCTAGACAAATAATTGTTTAAGATCTCTAGCTATGCCAAAATTCTGGCCTGTGTTTTTAAAAATACACATACCATTTATGGGGTAGAATAAAACCACTGAATTCAAGTACAGAGCAAAATGAGCATGATATAGTTGCATACCAGATCCTTGGTCATAATAAAATGTAAGTGCTGAAATCTTTTTTTCACTGAAGCAAAATTCCTGGGATCTGAAATTTTTCTCAAAAAGGGAAATCGCCTAACAACTTGCATTTTTATACCTCTCTGAGACTTACTATACAAAGTCCATTCTATTATATACAAAGTATCACTTCTGACTAGTAATTTATAAAACATGTAGGAAAGCAAAGAAAAATTTAAGAATTGCACATAAAACAATGTGTATATTATATTTTAAAACTGAAGAGGATCTTGATAATTTTCATTCTTCAGTAAACAATAATATTAAAGTTAGACACATGTCCCATGTGTCGTGTGGCTGATCTTGACATCTAACAGAATAAGCTAAGAGGTAGTTTAGAAATTGTTGCTAGAATTGCCCCTCTTCCTATAATATATTCTATTTTACCTCTTCTCCTCCTAGTTCCTCATCGTCTTCCTCCTCTCCAGGTTTAAGGTTTATTCCTTAAACCTCCTAATGTGACCTGGGGACACCGACTTAGCTATCCTAGGGAAATAAAGTTACACACAGCTTGTCAACGCCTAACAGAGATTTAAGGCTTGAGAAAGGAAGGCTGCAGTGTTCTGATTACTGTCAATTAACATAGCACTAATTATTGAGAAGAGAGCACATTAAAATAGTTTTTAAAATGGGGGAGCCTGGGTGGCTCAGTCAGTTAAGAATCTGACTCTTGATTTCAGCTCAGGTCATGATCTCAGGGTGGTGAAAAAGAGCCCCGTGGTGGGCTCTGTGCTGGGCATGGAACCTGCTTAAGATTTTCTCTCTCTCTCCCTCTGCCCCTCCCCACCCCACTCTCTCTCTCTCTCTCTCTAAAACAGTGATAATAATAAAAATTTTTAAAATAGCTAACATTTCTTAAATGCTTATTCTATCCGAGATCCTGCTAGACCTTTTAAACTGAGATGTCAGAAGCCTTGATTTAAAAAATTAGAACTCTTATATTTTTTGTCCTAGCCGTTAGTCAATTCTTCTTTGACTCAAAATTGCAAGGACATACATTCAGACATGCACAAAAGTAGCCTCCTTTAAAATTGTGGAAATACATCCACTCTAACTACCATAAAATTTACCAAGGTATTTAGTAAAAATCATTGTCAAACCTGTAAGGCTGCTCTCCTGTGTGGGTTCTCAAGTGCCGTGTTAAGTTCGCAGACCTTGGAAAAATCTTGCCACAGTATCTGTTATGAAAGATGTTTATAAGAGAAAGTCAGCACAATCGACTTTATTTCACTCAAGCCGCATAGAAGCCAGATGCTGATTCTTGATTTAATTAATCTTGCATGGAACTCACATGTCTTTGGTATTTAAAATTTGCAACAAAGCCATTCTACAGATATAAATAACTCCACGAATAAGGCTGCGTTATGAGATCTGGTTGAATTTGATCATGCATAAGCAAGCAGTTTATGAAAATAGACTTTAGTTTTGATGACCCCCATACGCCTCTTTTATTAACTCTGTATCTTTATAGTCACAAAACTGAACCAGACAAGAGGATAAAAAAATGACAAGAGTCTGTGATTCTGGGTTGATGTAAACAGATTTCAAATGTTTCAACTCATTTTACATGTTAGCTGCGGTGACAACTCTGTACATTGAGCGGTATCAGATCAGACAAGATTCGAAGACCTCATCCATCAAGGTATGTTCCTATAAAAGCTTTTCTGGAAAGAAAGTGACACATTTTCCAAAGAGCAGATAAATTGATATGCCTGAGTCAGATGTCACAAATTTCTGAGGACAATTCAGAAATTATAAGCACAATTTATTGAAAAGAAAAAAAAAACAAGCTTTACTGTAATAGTGATGGGTAACAAGAAACTTATTAACTAGCTTTCTTCACTTATCAACCTTATTCGTCCTTTGTTAATGGCCTTATTCTTCAATGCCATGACAATTAATAAATGTATGCACGAAGACAGTAGTATTATACCTTCGGATGAAAATAATTAACTGTGAAAGAAAATTCATAAATATCAAAGTGAAACAAGTATTTGGACTGTTTCCAACCTCATTTATCACAACCAAATGGCCTGTGTTAAAATTCCCATTTAATAATAATTTTTTAAAACCACTATTTTTGTATCTCCCTAAATAAAGGGTACTTTGAAGTGCTGGAGATCTATCATGATCACGATTAATCATCCAATCAAGAATAATTTCCAAAACAAACAGCAGGGTTTTTTGCAATCAGGGAGACTTGGGGAAAGCGGGCTGTCATGGGCCCTGCAGTTACCTGCAGGTGTAGCGTTCTTTCCCTTTCCGCAGGAGGTTCTCTGGCAGGGCATTGGGAGGTGCTCTGAAGTTGAACATGGAGGGAACTGACTGCAGAAGTTCACTGGCCTCCGGTTTCAGGGCACTGAAGCTCTCTAGCTTCTCCGCCATGTTTTCAATAGCTGACATCTGAAAGGCAAGAGCACAAGACCATGCAGGACCAGTCTGACATCTGTTCTTCTACAATAATCTCTAGAAAACCAAGAAATCATTAAGAAAAGGGAAGCATCAAATCTGCTGAATGCGGTAGACTGGAGAAAAAGGTTGTAGTGTCCCAATATTTGACAGATAACGAGAGGACTCGTTGATTTAGGAAATAACAAAGGTAGAACCGTGCTTATAGAATGCTGGGCGAACTTCAAAAGACCTTGGTTAGGCCATTTTGTCATCATTTGATATAGAACTGAGCAATGAAATACATGAGTGATAATAAAGCTTTTTTATTAAATTAAGAGACAATATTCGTATTACGTTATGGACATCAATAGTACACTGGACCTTATAGGGAAAGGTCCTGCATGCCTGGCCTTGGTAATAAAAACCATAGGAAGCATGGCATCCCATGAAAAGAATTCACAGCACGAAACACATCAAGTGTTCCAAGTTACAGCTTAAGCCAAATGTGTAGTGCAGAAAGAAAAAAATTAATGTGTAAGAGGTGTTTTGCCCAAGACTAGGTTAATTTAATATCTGGATATACTACAATTTTAAGTGGGATCATATACAAGGAATTTTGATGAAATATTAATTTGTTCTGAACAAAGACTGAGTTGAAATGACAGCTCATGATATATCATCGTGACTTCACGTAATAATAACTTGGCACGGGCGTTATAAGGGGAGTAGTTAGCCTAACCACACTCTTAGAGAAATAATCTTAAAAAAACTACCCTAATTCTTCCCCTCAAACAACCTAATTTATTTTGCTTATAATCTTCAAGTTTCTGTCCACCTGCCCATATAACTGACAGTCACAATCGGAGGGTGGCATTTACTTTGAAAGGCAGCTTAATCCTTACTGTCCTCAGTTAGAAGGACTCTCCCCTTTTCTTCAACCCTCCCAAAATGTTAAGTTTCCTTAGTGTTCATATTTTATTTGGAAGCTGCTTACTACTGAATTTTTAAGTAGAAAAGCAAACTCTCAGGCCATCCTGTTAAATCAACTCACCCATTATTTATTTGGTTCTCAGGCACTATGCCACTGGAGAGCTCAGAAAGCTGTTAAAAAGGTGTTTGCACTCTATATGCACTCTGTGTGTTTCTCAAAGAGCTGGGGTGTTAGACCAGGAGACTCCATGCAAGGACAAGAATGGTAACTGCACATTCAAACAATTGTTTAACCCAAGAGGATGATTCTTTCACTGATGGATGGCGGGACCGAATTGAAGGCCTAATTTACGAGCTCAGGATGGAAAGAAAAGGCACCCCTTCCCACTCAAAAGGAAAAGTAACAAAATCTCTATTCCATGGCCCAGCAGCTGGACAGAATACCAGTGACTCTTTACGGCGAAGCAAAATCTTAACAGAATGGCCAGACGATAAACGATGATTCTTTTCTTACAAAGGGAATAGTGTATGTTCCATCCTTCAAATGACTATTCATGTTGTAGTTAGGTCTCTCTTTTCCCTTTATCCTGGAGCCTGCCCTCTCATTTCATGCCCGGACTCCTAATGCTAGCTACAAATTGCAACGTACAGGGTACCACTGCCAATTTGCCAAATGTCTTTCATCAAAGACGGTGCAAAAAAATCTCAGAGGAAAGTCAAGATACATTTACTTGTCAGGCGACAAATGTGAACGCATTGGGAGGCGGTAGGGGCTCTAAGCTCAGGGGTTTGATTCATAATCACTCAGCTGCTAAAACATTCTCCACAGATGCAAGTGGACAGCACATTTGTCACTATGAAGGATTTTGACACATACTGATCACAGGGCAGAGATATGGAATGATGCTGCTGCTCGGAGAGGTTGGCAGAAACTCTGTCCCTGCAGAATACGGTCATTATCCCCCTCTAGCCGGAGTATTAGCATTTTCATCTTACTTTGGGTTTTATTTATTAAAAATCAATCCAGAAATATTTTATGATACTATTTTATTTGCATTTATTCCTCTTAATTGTTTCTTGCAGAAAATCATTTTGATATTCCACCCTCCACGGAATAAATTGTCTGAGTGAAAAATGACCCCTGGCCTTCAAGCTGATTAGCAGAAACAAGCAAGGGTCAGGGTCACGATTGCATATATTTATTGGGAAGAATAGTAAGTGCATGGGTGATGATTATTAATGTTTTATTTATGTACATTTAATATTTGAGTAAAGTTTCATTATCTAGTGGTTTTAAATCATTTGAGTGTCCACCCGGCTGACATACTCAGATTCCTGCGGCGATATATCTTATAGAAACACTTTGCCTTTTATATGGAAAATAGCTTACTCACGACTATTATTCTCAGCTTTCATCTCTAGCACATATAAACTACAAGTCCTTTAAGTTATTTAAGAGCAATTGGCTGTTGAGGAATGTATCTTGCTTTAGTAGTGCCTAACACCTCCTTTTGAAGAAAGATCGCTGTGATTACATTATCTCAAACTATTTTGATTTGGGTAAACTATCAAGAAACAAGAAAATACACTATGGGCTTGATGACTAAACACTGACATTCTTAAAGATAATAGGAAAAAGAACAGGAGTGACCCAAATGCTTCTCTTAAAAGCCACCCCCACCTTTGGCTTCCAGTGTCAAAGGAAAAGAGGATTAAATAGGAGCGGGGAAAAGGGAGAGAAGGAAGATGGGAAGTGAGCCGAGGGTAGTTATTAATACCACACACACACACACACACACACACACACACACACACACACACACCACTTTCTGTCCAGCTAGCAACAACCAAACATAAAAATCACCACCGAATTCTTCCTTTCATCTTCATAAGATTTGCTCTCATAGCACTTGACCTCAGTTGAAAAGAAGAAGTTTCCCCATTAGGACAGATAGAAGTGACTTAGACATCTGCCAGTTGGGTAGGTTAGCAATTCTATGACCAACATCGGTCTGCCTCTGTCTTGGATTAAGGTGTTGGATTAAGATGAGCTTCACCTGGTGCATGGGTCAAAACCCTAAATTTCTCACTCTGTGGGCTGACTCGTATGATGCTCTTCCTGAAATAACATGCCTTTTACAAGAGAAGTAGCAAGTGTTGACATTCATTTTAAAGACTGGCTTGGAATTTTAAAAATCAACATGAATTGGGATCAATGGAACAGAATCTACTAGCTACATATATATTTCAATTATGAAAAATCCAATGAAGAGGGCAATGTGTACTACTATAAAAAAGAAATTTGCTGAGAATGGGGAAAATAAAGGAGGAAATATTAGATCATATATTTTAGAAGTGCATCGCCCTTTGTCCTACTAATGTCATAGGCTAATCTCTGATCAGTAAATGACAGGTTTTTTTTTATATGGAGCAGTAATTTTTATTTATATATATAATAGTTGTTGATGGTATCTGCAGCCAGATGTCTGGAAGAGGAAGTCATTGCACCCCCTTTCAGTCCCCAGGAGGCTATTAACTTTATACTGACGCAAACTAATATTTAGACAGAATTCCCTAGATCCTACCAAAAAATGTAGCTATCTCCCTAGTCAAATAAACTTAGTATTTTTAAAAACATTTCAGCAGGCAAGATATCATCAACTGGGTCCTAAGCACTTAGCTTAACATTTATTATCTGGCAGCCAATAATTGATGACATAAAGAAGTTTCTCATTAAAACCATTAAAGCGACAATCTGATTATATGAAATGATTGTCCAATGGCACCATGAATTATGTGACCTAATGTTTTACAAATTAGATTACACATGCCTTTATCATAAAACAACTAACTTTTCATAAATAACTTATGATGGGAAAGTTTGTAGATTTGGTGGTTTTCTATATTTATTCACTTGATAATCTTGAGAATTCTCAAAATTGTGGCCATTTGGGGGAGAAGCAAGTATTCATAGTTTATGGCTATCTCATTCCATGTATCACATTCAGCAGTCATGATTATAAAATCCATTAGAATCTGTTTACCACTAAAATGATAAACTTTAATATTTTAGTAGTTCCCACTAATATCTATGTTTTATAATACAAATATAAATCATAGCTCTGAAAACCCTATGATTTAGGGAATGGAAGTATTTCCAAAGCATTGCAATGTCAGTTTCTATACCATTGTATTATCAGGGAAGGGAGTCTAACTTAAATCTGAATTGGCTTTGTCAGTTGGTAGAACCATTGGGCATTTATGTAGTGGACAGCACCTCATGGATGAAGCAGCCAACCACATAGGTACTGTCAAGTAATACTCCACCTTAGAAAGGATGAGGACCCTGAGGCACGATACTCAGGATGGACCTCTCCCAGGGAAGACAGAAGAGGAACACTGGAAATACAGGCCAGGGCAATCAGAGCACAGCCCCATCAGCTGTACTACTTTGTCTAAGAAAGCCTTAGTCTCTCTCTCCCTCTCTCTTCTCTTGTACTTTTGAAATAAATAAACTTAATCCTTAAACGTCTATCAAAATGAGAAAAAGCACAATTCATCACATACTCCACAGAAGAAATCAAATGGAGGAATTTCTGGTAAAGAAAATCTAATAGCAGATAGAGGAAACAGTAAGTGCTAAAGTGTTCCGACTTAAAATAATTTATATATAATTATATGGTGACCAAAAAAACTGAACTATATCCCAGATTTTACCCATATCTCAGAATCAGAATAATTTTGAGTAAAGAAGACAACGAAGAAGTAGAAGTACATATAATCAGAGGAAATTTTGTAATATATGTTATTTATATGTATTTCCATCGACCCAAGGTTTATTTGAGAGTAAAAAGTAAATAAGCAAGACAGAGGATCATAGGGGAAGGGAGGGAAAAATGAAAGAAGACGAAACCAGAGAAGAAGACAAACAATAAGAGACTCTTAATCTCAGGAAACAAACTGAGGGTTGCTGGAGTGAGGGGGGAGGGAGAGGTAGGTGGGGTGTCTGGGTGATGGACATTGGGGAGGGTATGTGCTACGGTGAGCGTTGTGAATTGTGTAAGATTGTTGAATCACAGACCTGTACCCCTGAAACAAATAATACATTATATGTTAATAAAAAAATATTAAAAAAACTAAATAAGCAGTCTTCTTTGTATCTTGAACAAAAAATAAAGCTGTCCCCTAGTATCATTACCTGACAACTGACTGAATCTGGAAATAGGAACTGAAAGTTGAGGAAGTGAGACCCAAGGCTGAAAGATTCATTCACTAGTTAGATATGGATTTTTAAACATTTAGTCTTATTACTCCAAATAGCCAGAACCAAGTTCTGCCCTGGGATATACGGATGTGAATTCCAATGTCAGCTTGTGTCTACATGTAAGTTCAGGTTTTAACCTTTTAAAGGCTTTATCAAAAGCATCTTTAACATGCTGATACAGGCTGCCCCAAATAATGGTTGTTTCCACTTAGTGACCCATTTCGAAGGCTCTTTTAACAACATACTCCCAAGCGCCGAGAAAGAGTTCTACATCAAGGTATAATTACATGGAATGGGTCAAATTTATAAAATAAACTTCTTTCTGTAAACAATTTATAGCACACTAAATGCCCAATTAAAACGGAAAAGTATTTTGCAGCTTGACAAAGCTGGAAAGCGATCTGCTGAAGCCATATCATGTAATGGAAAGCGGCTCAGAATTCTTTATGTCTGCACAGCATTTTATAATATAAGTTGTTTTCCTTTTAATGCTACACTATTTTAGTCAAAAATATAAGTAGGAAACTTACCCAAGTTCTCTGATCAGGCAGTTGGAACTGGGAGCAAAATTGAAACAAAAACAAAAAATTACTTCTGTATCAGTATCTTTATTGCAATCTATCCTTTGAGAAATTAACATTTATACGGACTTCGTAATTTTTGCTTATCATGTAACTGTACCTTGAGTAAAGGCTCTGGAAATGAAAATTAAATGTTTTTATAACACTGCTGGATTTCCTCTATTTACTGAAATTAAATTTTAGAATCAAGGTTATAAACCAGAATGTTCTTTTTTCCAAGAAAGCTAGACACTGCCTACTACACCAAATCTTAAATAGCAAAGTAGTTACTTTCTTCTTTTTTTGTTTTTACTCACTGCAAGAGTCCTAAACTTTAATAAATAAAACTTCAGCAATTTCCAGCAAAAAATCTAGTCTCTTGCATTTGTATAATGTTAATAACAAAGAAAATAAGATATTTACTCAAACGTGAATCACTGAGTAACAAAAAGGTAATGTACTTGGAAATGCACTGCTTGACTTTTATTAGCTTGGGATTCAGACCATGAGTGGTCAAAACACATAAGGATATTAATTAAAAGAACTTCACATACATAGTTACCAACGTCAACTTATGACAAGAATCACTGGGAGAAACTTCAGTGAATTGGGAGCTCTTCCAGGAAGCACAAAGGTTGTATCCTTAAAATTATCATTTTGCTTGGTTAAAGGGGATACTTCTTGCTTTTTTAACTTATGGCATCTTTAATAAGGAAGATACATAGTTTTTAAGGATAAAAAATTTATTGCAGAGGAAATCTAACAATAAGAAACAACTTGCTGAAAGCAAAATAGAAGATGAAGGACAAAAGACAAGTAATTTTCACATCAACATATAAAGGATAACTTGGAAAAAGACGAACTTTTTCCCAGTTCTTTGGTAGGATAGACAGACACTTTAAAAAGAAAAAAATAAAAATGACTGAATAAAGGACAGAAACAGAAGTAAAACAGAGTCTTTGTTGCAGATGTATACAAAGCCAAACATCTGGAAATAAAATGTATTAACCACCAAAAGCAATAAATGTTGCATTTTGTCTTCAATTTAATTTCTTATATAAATTTGTTTCAGTAACTACCGACAAGGTGTATCATGTTTCTGCATGTATTAAACGTGCACAGAATATAGGAAAATCACACCAAGGAATAATAGCCAGTTTTACAACAGCATAACTACCAAATGATTTCTATGGCGGTTCAAAGGAGCCATCAATGTAAATGCAAAGTACCTAAAACGCAAAGTACCCAGTGAAATGGACATTCCAGAGATCACACATTCATACCATTCCTTCCATCTCACCTACTTGTGGCTGTCATTCCTTTTCAAAATTATAATCTAAACTAAGACCCCCACAAACAATTTTCAACCATGTATCCAGGAAGAACCTCTATAGTACTTATTTCTACCTTATATTAAGCTAACTTATTTATAAAAGAAAAGTAGAAATCTAAATAGTCCTCTAGTGGCTTGACACAGAAAGCATACTTCTGTAAAAATTGAACAAAGCGAGGAATTTAGACCCTGATAATGAAAAAAAAAGGCAATTATCTTTTACTTTTGTTTGTGTTCCTATATCTTCTAGATATTTTTGACAAGACTTTTAAAAATATATATTATTATTCCAAGAGGCAGTGAGATGCCTGATAATCTTTCAATAAAACTCAATAAATATCTAAGTATCTACTGAGGTGTCCACCTTTTTTTTTGATTAGGAAATGTGCCCAGGGGAGGGACATGATGAGTAGAATACAAAGGCATACAAATATTATAAAATCAGGCTTGCCCAGAGAATACCACTACCAAGAATCTATAGACCTATATCTATGTTTTCCCTGAAGCATTAAGAATATGTGGTCTCCTTTATTATGATGATGATATTATTATTATAACCCTGAGAAATACGTGAGGAAAGTATTATTCCCATTTGGAAGACAAAGATACAGAAGCCCCAGTGCTCCAGTGTACTTTAAATGGAAAATGAAGTAATGAATGGTCTTATCCAAGCATTTATTTAGCTACAAAATCATGGCCAGCCCTGGGAGCAGAGGCAAGGGCTTCCAGTTTGGCCTCCTGCTCTGTGCCACCCTTATTGCTGGCCAATGAGGCAGTGCCAAGAACACAGTAAGCATCTTTCCAAGTACTTCTAGATCCATGTATAGTCCTGCCAAAGAAGCTGGGTTCCGGGGATGGCCGGAGAGTATTTTCCTGGCATTCCTTTACATTCAAAATGGACTACTCCTGCATTCATTAAAGCCGAAAGCTATCCCTCATTTAGGTCGTCCCACTTGCCAGGCAGTTTGCGCCATACCGGCTTAGGTACATGAACGCTAACCCACACGGCTAGCCGGGTAAGGCCGGAAGGGGTGTTCCCACCATGCTGATATCTGAGAGGGCTCAGAGAGATGAACCGCTCTGCTCAAAACCTAAGCATTTTTGCTAATAAGCAGGAGAGCCAGTCATAAAGCAGTCATTTCTGGCCCCAAATCCTGGCAGGCTGTCTTTGTTTGTTTGTGTTTGTTTATGGGAAAGCAGATCTTGGGGCTAGGATGGAATTGATGGAGTACTAGAAAGAACAGAAGAATTCTGTGGAAATTTTAGGACATTTGAGGCAGGTGTTCTGAAAGAACAGACTCTTGGGTCTGGAGGCTTGATGAAAAGGGGGTGGCCCAAGCTTCTCCCAGGTGACAGTTGTGATTTCACCTGTACCCCAAGTGATCTATAGCCATTACACATGAAAACAGCCACGATGGTTAGAAAAATAATAAAATCTTTCTGTAGCAGTTGGTAAACAGCCTTTGCACCAAGAACCTTGAATGGTCCCCCTACCGTCCTGGCCGCATCTCAAAAGACCCTTAGACAGCCCACCAGCCAGCAACTACACCATTAATAGTCGGGGCAGCAAGGACTTCCAAGACGCTGCTCCAGAATGCCGGGAGTCCAGTCCGATGGGTCAGTATTCGTGACATACAGGGTGTCAAGTATTTCGATTAGCACTCTTGGGTCCTGTTCTAACAGCGGCAATAGGCAGTCCCTTCCACCAAGACATGACCCTCTAGTGTGGGAAGGAAGCATACACGCCTGTTTGCGGTGCTCTGTGGGGAGGACTGCTCTGCTCCCAGTATCATCTTTTGTGATTCTCCATTCACTTGGGAAATATCAAGAGATAGTAGATTTTCTTATTTGATTTGATTAAAAATATGTACATACTCTAACACTTGCACGCACATGTGGAGTTATCGGGAGACAAAACTGCCCATCTTGTAGACCAGTGAATTCACTTTGGCTAGCTAGAAATCTGTGAATTTCAGAGAGAATAGGGACTTGCCACCCAGCTCCTTCATTTTACAGATAAGGAACTAAGCGCCAGGTAGACCGAGTCACCTGAGGATCCTGAATCCCAGTCTTTTTTCCCCTCTGTTATACCGTGTCCTCATAGCACTTAATTTGGAAGTGATTAGTTGCTAGATTTTAAAGATAATTAGAATGAGAACAATTTGATTATTGTAACTAAATGTATATAACTATAATATCCCCATGAGCAGTTAGTGATAATTAGAAAGTTCTCAAGAAAGATAGACCTTTTGTGCACTGACACAAAATGCATATTATGTTCAGCTTTATTAGCCCATGAGGCCTAAGAGTACAATTAAAAATCAACCTAAATGTAAACTATAAGTACCTAAATGTAAACTATAAGTATAAATCTAATATAAGTATTAGATCTACCTATTTTATAACGTGTTTCGTTTCCATAAAGTAATTATATAAATAATATCATTCCTTAGCCTTTCTATATAAAATGAATGCTAACTGGAACATTTCTAATTCCTTGAATATTAAATCATGTATTTTCTCACTTTGAAATAGAATTTTTGAGCAACGATAGATTTCCCCAGCTAACCAGAAGATGTACTTCCGCTCTCATACTCTGTTGTTTAGGACGTTGTACAAGTACTGAAAAAGTTGCAGTTGAAGTACTTGAAAAATTGAAGAAGAGGTGGCAGAGGGGGAGGGTGGGTCATATCCCCAGATAATTTAATTACCTCGTAACATTCTTTAAGATGGCTTGAATAAAATTCTACCAATTTTATTAGAGGAGCATAATTTTTAGTTTGACTATGTTGAAAAGGAATAAATTAGTTCACTGATTTTAAGCATTTTCATAAAAATTTTGCTTACCATCTATAAAGACCAGAGTTTATATCTTTTAAAAAAATTAGAAATAAAAAACAAAATATCAGGTAAAAAAACACATTTAAGATGTTTATATATTTGGTCTTTCAATAGAATTCTCCGCATGTTGATTGCTATGTAAACCAGTTTTTTAAAAATAACCAAATATGTAAAACAGAGGGATGAACCAGTTAGATGGCACTGCTCTGCATTCTCCTTGCAATGAGAAACTATATATATTTTGATAAATGGACACAGCTCCATTCAGCAAATGACTCTGTGTATTGTGGTAAATTCTTGTGCAATTACAGAACTTCGCTGGAATGCCCAGTGGTCTCTAGATAAATTCCTTCACCCTCTATGGTAACAACTTGTCAGGTAGATTCATTTCCTGTTTTTTTATCTAAGCACTAAAGGAACCTGAAGGACCTTCATGAGTTTGGGATGAGTCAGAGTATGATCTATCTCTTAAACACAAAAGACAACTTCAGTATTTACTCTAACTGAATTTTGCTCACTCCAAAATACACGTTGGCTCAATAAGCAGTTAACAGCAGACAATAATTTAACACCCCCAAAACACATTGTTTTTACACATATATTAATTTCTTTTTCTTTAAAGAGTTTGAGTTTTAGTTCTGCTAGAATTTCCTGTGTTCTTCTACACCAGCGTCATAGGAAATCCTAATGTTCTCAAGATTTCTTTCATTTCATTGCACCTGCTTTTCAGGATCAACAAGTTAGTTTACAAGCTTGAAGTCTCAAATTCAAAATACTTACTTGTGGGTGAAATAAGAATCCTGGAGAAGGTCTCAAGTATTTCTCTTTTAAAGCTTCAAGTGGGTCAGTTAGTTTTCTTTTCTCTACTCTGAAAGGTTAAAATTAGTTTTTGGAGATGAATCAGTCTCATATATCAATCACTATATAATTACTGACATTTCAAACAGCTAACAATAAAGCAAATGGTAGGTTTCTGGGAAGCACACTGATAAAAATATAAAGACATCTGTTCAGTTCTTGAAGAATACTCAGGGCACTTCTAGGCACTCAAAGAAAGAAGGTCCTATTTATAACGGCAAAATCCGATTGAATGACTAGTAATAACAGTAGTGAGGAAATATAAAAAATGAAGAGTCATGAAACCAGAGGGATTGGTCATACATTTGTACCTTTCCATTTCAAATGGAGACAAGAAGGCTGGATGATTTTGAAATCATGAGGAGAGAGTCCATTTTGAAAATTAAAGTCATTTTCTACCAAGAAAGTGTTCCCCTAGATATTCATTATGTTTCTCCCATCCTTGCCAATGACAGCAGGAGAGTTTCTAAGCATACTCTGCACGCTGCCACTTACTCTTTGAAGTATAGGTGTCTTCCTTTGGATGGCAAAAGGGGGTGGAGGGAAAAGGAAGGGGAATTTTTGAAGATAGAGACATATAAAACTTATCTACATATCCCTTCTGCCTTAGAAATGTTTGTCATTCTATTTACCATTAAGTGTACAGGAAATGAGATCATGGATTCAATTAATTTCTTTCACCAACTGTTGGTAAGTTTCTTTTAAGAACTGTTGAGTAAGTACGCTTTTAAAATAGAACCAAAATTAATACAAACAGCTACCATTTCTTGAAATTTTGTATATGCTATGTTTTGCATTTACTATTTCACTTACTGAAATAGGTCCTCTTATACCCATTTTATGGATTTAAAAAAAAGTCTGAGACATGGGAAAGCTGAGATTTCAACTCAGGTCTTACACTAAGACTGGTGTTTAGGTCTTTCATGACTTCGGTAAAATGACGGGCCTAGGCCCTTAATTCAGAGTGAAATACCAGAGAGGAGGCCAAGTTTTAACTAAGCAAGAGGAAGGTTAGGAGGTGAAGGAGAAGAGTGTAATGGATGTGTGGAGGGACTGAAAGCCCATTGCCACATGGAGGGTCTAAGAAAGAAAGTCTGAGGAATACTCTTCACAAAGGGCTGAGATGTATCACTGGCTTGGAAACAACCTTCCTGGCAATGTGTGACATACAATCCACACACAAAATACGGAAGTGCTGTTTTCCCTTCTTTTCCCTTCTCTTATTGGGACTGCCACAGGAATCAAGACATAAATAACTGAAAAAAAAAAAAGTGCCCAAGCCTGATTACGATGGCTCAGAGATATTTTTGTATTGTCCTTTTTAATCCCCTGCCAGTGGAGTTAGCCCTCAACATAGTGGCAGTATTTCTTAGTTAATGTATTATAGATAATAGGAGGCAGAAAAGGATGGAGTTTTTAGTGAAGAGGGTTTGCAGCTCTAGTTCCTATTAAGTAATAGGAATCAATAAATATCGTTGAATGAAAGAGTAGCACAAAATTGTTCATAAAAGACAATCAGGCAAAAATACGAAAATAGTCTCATCTTAAACAAGTCTAATAAACAATGATCCACACGTTCCATTATTTCTTGACAATGTTCAAGACTTGAGTGAGAAGGTAAATGTGAAAATGCTTGGTAATATTTAAAATCCATAATAAGCATAATTACTATTACTCATACTTTTAAAGAAAGCTGGTATTTAAAAACTAAGTCATTCTGAATTTCAAGTGAGTGTTACACAATGCTGTCTAAGAGGCTTTTTATTAAGCATATATGTTTCCCCCAAAGAATTTTTGGATGCAGCAAAGAAAACTGGATAATGAGCATATGAACAGAGACACATTTTTCAAAACCAACCATTCACATTATACACAAGACATTTTTGTGACTAATATTTCATTTACTTTGGGCTCCTGGGAGGTTTATTTAGCAACAGAATATGAACAGTACGTACTAAGGATGCGTTGGTAGGTTAACAAAGAGAAAACTCATGCTGTTCTATGTCCCATCTCATTTCAAATATCCTGACCCATTTAAGTCCCCACACATACTTGCATTAATCCTTCAGGAGCCTCATTCTTCTGCCACTTGACAACTTGCTTTAAATATGGCTTTCCCATATTTTCCACTTAAAAATGTGTTTAAAAATAAATTTATTGTCAAGGGAAAGAACTCAGTGGGCCTCATCCCAAACCCCAAATTCAGAGACATCCAAAAATAAGTCCAAACCTAATGAGTTGACCGTCTGAGTAAAAAATGAATTCACTAGATCAAACAACTTTACTCTCTGCCTTATAATAATAACAAAAATAATTTGTTATAAGCCATAGCTTTAGAATGTAAAAACTGCCCTCTGTTCACATGTCCACGTCGAATGGTCTCTTATCCTCCCTTACCTGTAAATCGGGTCCATAAAGAAAGGAGTGGGTCTAGCGTGCTGCAAGGAACTGTCCGATGCAGGTCTCGGTTCAACGTTGCTTCCTTTCTTTTCCCCAAACACATGGTTTTTACGGGGCTCGGCCAGCTTTGTTCCACTGGCTCTACTCCTACTGCCCATACTTAGATCCAGGGGCTGGTCTTGGCTTGTGGCAGATGTTGCTGGAGGCTTGGAGGGTCCTGGAGTCAAGGGCTTCTCGTCCTTTCGCTTAGTGGTGAGATCAAAGGGAGACTCAGAGCTTCCCTTCTGCAGTTTCTTGACTTCACTTGGTGATTGGGGTTCCATTTTCAAAGGTAACGATCTCAAGTCTCTATCAGGAAATGGGTACATTGATTGAGAGAATGCTGGAAAAAACGGGAGGGGAAACATGGAAGGGTAAGGTAAAGCTCCAACTTTTTTGTCTTGCAGCCCCACCAGTCCTGTTGAACCAAAGTATTTTTCAGCAATAGAAGCAATAGCCTTTATAGAATCATTCACAGCTCCTGACACCGCAGTGTGCTCCTCTAAAGACGGTGGGAAAGTGGAATGATTGCTGTATTCTTTCCTATTATGTCCTGAAGCCAGATTCTGAAGAGGGCTTACTTTGTCTTTGAACATTTTACCATTTTCTTTAAATTTCTCTTTATCACTTTCAAGGTCACTTTCCAGATCAGAGCCCGAGGTTGTTTCCAGGTCACTGCCACTTGGTGTACTGACATCATCAAGGTCACTACTCTCTGACTGGTCACTCATTTTCTCAAGGGGCCTCTCTTCAGAGGACCCCTCGGGCTGGAGCTCCACTGGCTTATTGTCCCCTACAGGTGGGTGTTTAGATAGTGCCTTCAAAATATCCTGTGTAGCTGGCAGTATCTGAGGATGTGTCATGAGGGGACTTTGACTTTTGTTTGTCTGTTCAGTACTTGATAGTCCTTTAACAGGAGAACTAGCAGGTATCAAAGGAGGCCTGTGGTACAAGCCGGAAGGAAACAGACCAGGGAAGCTAAAAGAAAATCCAGGAGCTGTTGGAAAGGTAAGACCAGCGGGATGCCTATTGGCACCAAAATAGTCAGCAAGGCCCGGGTTGGCATGACTCATATTAACCATGGACGTTTTATCCATAGCGGGGGTTCCAGGAAGTGAAATGCCTTGGCCAAAAAATCCACCTGCCGCAAAATGGTTCTTGCCCTCACAAAACCTCCTGTGTTTATTTAAGGAAGACGTAGTGCTGAACATTTGTCCACAGTCTTTGCACTTGATTTGGGTTCTGCAATCAGCATGCATGCGCTTATGACGACAAAGGTTTGAAAACTGAGTATAGGATTTATGGCAGACCTCACCTGTGTGCAAACAACAAAAAAGAATCTCAGGCTTTATGGCAATTGCTGCTGAATTTAGCAAGTATCACAATTGGTTTACCCAAAATTTCAATTAGGAAGCTAGGAAAAGTTGTTGGAGGTACCAATCTGGGTGCTCCAAACACAGAAATCCCCATTTCACTAGATTCCAAAGCAAGGCATCCAACCTGACAAATGTCTTGAGGCAGCACAAATATTTCATATATAAATATATATAAAGATTTCTGTCATCCCCATTGCATATTTTGCATTGTATTTGTGTATTTAAGTATTTATAGAAAAGTCCAATTCCAGCATGCACTGATTTCCCACCCAACACCTACCCTAACAGAATCTTAAAAATTAAAGTCTTAAGCACAATACATAACAGGAACCCATTTAAACTTTTAGACCGCTCCAAGAATTCTAAGTCGGAGGCACCGACACAAAATAAAACAGCCTTTCCCTCAACCGGCAACTTTATCTTTATTCTCTCTCCCCTTGGGGAAAAAGCCTGTGACTGCTCTACCATTATTTAATTTGTGTTATATCATACGCTCTCATCATTCACACATCAAAGCCACACAACAATGCACATTGTGTATTCGGAGACATTTTTAACAATCATTTTCATGATTCGAGAAAGACTGACATAATTTACAATGGCTCTATTTTAAGCCTGCAAAGGAAACTAAATTGAATGTGGCCCATCCTGCATTGCTGGTTCCCATGAACTACGATCACGTCCTCTGACTTCCCCTCACACCAGCGGTTGTGCTAACCTTCCTGCATTTCTAAAACCCCCGTCCTTGGGAAATATGTCCACTCGTTGTCATATCTTCGCCGGTTATCTCAGGGCTTGACTTCTATGGGGTTTAGCCAACTACAGTAAGCAGGGGAGGGTGCTCTGAATGCTCTAATCCAGAAAGAACACAGCAGGGTGCGGCCAGGAAAGAACCCTCTTTGTGGAGCATTTGCCAAAAAATTAGAACATCTCTCTCCTCACATATTATGTGAGAATAGAACTAAATGTATTTTGAGACCAAGCTTCGTAACCTTTAAGAACTCCTTTGCTAGGTACGAATCCCCCTCACTTCGTAGTTCAGCAGGAGTATCGTGCCCATTTCCTAAGCATCACATTGTTTAATCTTACTTTAGTAGAGATGAATCCACTTTATGTGTGAGCTTACTGTAAACGATTCTGTGCACGTTTAATACATGCAGAAACATGATACACCTTGTCGGTAGTTACTGAAACAAATTTATATAAGAAATTAAATTGAAGACAAAATGCAACATTTATTGCTTTCATGTGATGATTGCCTTTAAGCGCAGAATGGTGGAGCTCCTAAATTAAAGCAATAATAATTGAAAGAAATAAAAAACTCGAAGGAGATTTTATAGATGTTCAGTCATGCAAAACTCACCCAAAAGTTGGATTATCCCACACACCACCACACAGGAAAGACCAAGTGATTCCATAATATTTCTTTTACTACTAATGATTAAAATGCACTGCGAAATATATCAGGGTGCTTAGTAATAGTAAAGGAGCTTTCAACTGTGGGATGATTCATAACATTATAGAGGCCGTAACATGCATTTTAATGGGAAGAGAAGATGTGAGTGATTTCTTTTCAAATCATCCTACTGGAATAGACTGACCAGAGGCTGCTTTAAAAGTATGTACTCTTTAACCATATACGATAAATATACATGCTATTTAAATTCTTTGATACACTAATTAAAACCATATGATGTAGAGGGTGGAAACACGAGGCTTTCGCTGGTTACACTAATTCAGCTATGAGCAGTAACAAGAAGTAGTAAATAAAATGTCGTTGGAATTATAAAAGTGCACTCATCGAGAAAGTAACACCTCTCCTCTGGGCATTAAAAGGCGTTGAGAAAATGTCTTGATGGGTCTTCAGCCACGGTATAAACTTTTGAAAGGTTTGCAATTTTTTGGCAAAGAAATATTGCTCTCTATACTTCTCTCTTGGAGTCGGATGGATTTAAGAAATCAAGACCTTCTCTATCTCAGAGTAACAGAAGGTGCATTTGACTTTCCTGGTTGCACCCTCTGTTACTCAGATGAGTGCGGGCTGTGTCAGGTCTTAAGAACATAGAATCTGGGATGTTTCCCTAGGCAGGAGCTTTGTTTTTCTCACTTGAAGGTCTGGCCTGGCCCACCACAAACCACCAGGCCTCCAGGTAAATGGCTCAATTGATGTTGAAGTCTATACTCTACTGTAATTTTCTTAGTAATAAGGAATTAGCTAGCAGTTAACATTGCATTTTTCTACTTATTAAACAAATTAAGAGGTATTTTGAATATGTTCAGCCTATTAGAGCATGTGGTTTCTATTTGGGAAGGCTGGAGGTTTCTGTAAAGGCAGTGAGTAATTACCTTAGCGCTGGTGACTTTGGGCTCAAGCTTGGCGGTACACTGTAATAAGAGACAGTTGCCATAAACACACCAGTGGGGGTAAATCATGGTGTGTGGCCTTCTGGTGAGAAACAGATATCAACTCTAGGTGAACCTCCTCCACTCCCAATCTCCACACCAACTCTCTTCTTTTGTTCTGAGATTACATGGCTATTATTCATAATTACCCCATGGTTCTCTGTCAGATTTTATATTTGAAGAATGCCATCTGCTATTTAAATTTACCAATAATTACTGAAAATGCATTCATGGCAAATAGTTGCACAAGCTGATTGGAAAGGGACACCCTATAGTGTTTTAAAATGAAACACTTGACTTCAACACAATTAAAATTCCAGATTCCAGAACCGTAGATGATAGGAATCTATATTTTCTGAATTTTGGTTTAAATAATACAGAAAGCATTAAATGGGTGATCATAATCCATTTGGTCTATTTTTTTCCCACCAAAACACAATAAATGTTTAAAGTCTGTTTCTGAGAAATCAGAAATAAATGAGTTATTTATGCCCGTAACACTTGCAAGTACATTTTTAAGGGCGTTACGACCTAGAGTCAGAAATGCCTTTATGAGACAAGAAGTCTAAAATTTCTATTGTATACTTTATTTCCCGTGACTTTCAACAGAGCTTCCCCAAGGGAGACTAGAGCACCCTTTTGTTTATCAGCTAGTCCTCTTCACTCCACCCAGGGAACAGAAGAACATATGAGCAAAACAAGACTTTAGCGTAAGCTGGAAAGGGGGGAAAAAAACCAACAACAACAAAAAAACTCCCTTGGTGCTTGGAAGCACAAAAGAGGGCTGTGTCGAGGTAATAAAAGGAGGAGGGTTAGTCCCTGGCATCTTCATGTTGGCACTAAAAAATATTTTTTGCCCATCAGGTCCTGTAGTAGTGTCTCATACACCTACTACAGACTATTGCGTATGTGTCAGAAAAAAAATGTGTTATAAGGGTTCCCGAGTCAGAGGTTTTTGCCAACTATGGAGTGTGCTTCAATCAGTTCTATGCACGTCTGGATCCAAAATCAGTCTTGACGTTTGTAGCACAATTCAGTGAGTCACCGTGTTTGTATGCCCCGCTGAGCAATGGATCAAAAGAAGTCCAGAGTCATTGCCCATAGGGACCGAAAACAACTGATTTTCCTCGTGAAACATCTCAGCATAATACAGGGAACAGGAGTGGGTGGACAGAAGAAGCAGCAAACGAGCACTGAGTTTTACTTTAGGTGGAGTGTGTTACTCAAATACAGAGACGTTCTAAGTAGGTGGTCAGATTGGCTGTCCCCTGAACACACACTGCCTGTAAATTTGCTTTAGTGCGGTGGGTTACAGAAGCATCGTGTCCGGCTTCAAAGTGAGAACGTTCTGCTTTTCAAGTAACTGAGAACTACCGGCCAGCAGCCAGTGATTGCTAACAACGTGTAGATTAAGGGGAATTTTATTCCCCCTTCTCTTTCCCCTCACACACACTCATACACACACACACACACACACACACACACACACACAGTCATAAGCCCCCTTGCCAAGTGGGGTACTTCCAGCCCTTTCTGATCCAGAACGGGTTTTTATCACTTCATCTCGTTTAGTGGCATCTGCCATTTTCAGCGTGAGACAAATCTGGTTGTCTCTATTAAATCCTACAACCTGGGGAGGCTTCCCTTCCATTACTTAATGACTTCTTTCTCGGCTCGTTATTGATTTTATCTAAAACAAAACACCCCAGGGATTAGAGACAAAATACCCTGGATCTGGGTGTCAAAGATTTTCTTGTAACAGAAAATAGCCCTACTGGACTGGACCATAAATAGCTAATGAGGAGATACTTCCATGGCCATGCGGCCACTCTCCTGATCACAGTGCCTTTTGGACGAGAGAAGGATGCAGGAAGGAGGGCTGGAGTGTTAAAAACTTACAGATAAAGGGCTTCACACTGCTGTGGATGTGCTTGTGTTGTTTGAGGCCCGACGAAGTGGCAAACGTTTTGCCACACTCCGGGCACGCGTGGGCCCGGGCACCAACATGCTGAGAGCGGATGTGCCGCTGAAGGTTGCTAGGGTCCGTGAAAACCTGCTAGGAAATGAGTACTGATTAATCAAGAAACTTAATCCAAGGACACAATAAAGAAGACCAGGAATGACTCAAGAAGGAATTTTATTTGTTTTGCTTTTGTTTATTTGTTTTCCCCAAAGACCAAAAGAAAGTCATATTTCCAAAGCATGAGCTCCTCTAGCATAGGGACTGTAAACTATTCAGCTCTGTATCCTTAGCACGAAATGTCCATCGGTATCAGTTGAACAAGATAATTAATGGCATGATTAGACCATATTCAAGATCATTTTGATCCCATTTAGAGTGATTAGAGTTGAATAATAAAACGCCAACAAAGACAGGATTAAAACCGGTGTGCTATTTCCATCCTCTAAACCAAGACACACTATGTGCAAAATTGGGGGGAGTTTTACTAAAGTATCTCAAATCTATTCAAGGAGTTCCCCCAGGAGTTAAAGCTAACACTGTGTTTCAGCAAGTTACCATGAAGCTAAAACTATTCCTTTAAACACTATACTAAAAAAAAAAAAAAAAAAAAAAAAAAAATGAAAAAGTCACCCACACTTCTGGGAGCAAAACATCTCTAAGGATAATTTCTAGTGCCACAATTTCCACTGGCATGAAGAAAGATATTCATTCAAATGATATGAGAAGTTTTTGGAAATAGAAATCAACCTAATAACATCAGGACATCTTTTAGTTCATTGAGAACCACGAAAATTAAATGATGTGAGCTACTGTTTTCATAATTCAGAGTCATGGTCAAGGTGGAGTGCTTTCCTTGCACCCTTATGCTGTTCAGCAGTGGCCACTAAGGCATTACGCTTTTAATTAGAACCAAGTGATGATTTATGGTGGGGACTTGGGTGGAAAAATCTGCAAATGTAGGAGTCTCCTATTCTTTCTGAATAGGCATCCAGAAACTTTATGTGACTTCCTCACAAACTGCTATTAAAATAAATCAGTAAATGTGCATTGGATAAAATTTTCATTCTCCATAAGGCTATAAAACAACCCCACACTGGCAAGCCAGTAGCGGAACCAGGAATTTACCAAGGATGTCTGACACCTAGTTCTGGAACTCACCATTAAGCCTCACTTCCTCTCTTACAAAAATAAAAGGATACCCACTAAGTGTTTTTATACACTGTACTAATGCCTTTTAGCATACAACACTCAGTCTACTTTTCTCAAGATATTTATAGTTTCCCCTCTCAAGGCTTGTTTTTATATATCATAGCAAGTGATGGATTAAGAGAGAGCAGGATGACAGAGAGAGGCCAAGTAGTCTACAAATTCACTGTACCTTGGCACAGTTTTCACATTCATAGTGCTTTCCACTGTCATGTGACATCTGGTGGCGAATTAAATTGGACTTCCAGTTAAATGCCTTGGGACACTGATCGCACTTGTATTCCCTCTCTTCAGTATGTGACAACATGTGTTTCTCCAGGCTGTTAAGAGAACAATTGATTTAATAAGACATGGTGACAAAGAACACATTCATAAACAGAATGTCATTTTATTAGTAATCCAACTGGCAATTAAAGAAAAAAGAAGGAAAAGTGGTTGAGGTGAGGAAGACAAAGGAGAAGAAGCAGGCCTGCAACAGACAAAAGAAAATGTATTTCTCCTAGAACCGTGTCTCTAACTAACATGAGAGAAGTACCCCTGTTGTTAGGAAATAAATCCGATATGGCTATCAGGGATTAGCTGCCAATTCAAGGGCATGGTAAGTGACTTGTCATTTGTCCAGGTCTCGATTCACTACACCCTTCTAAGGGCAACACATACTGCTCATACCCACTTAATTCAAACACAAGCACTCAAACAGAAGATCCTCAAAAATGCTTAAGAACATGCAGGCAGGTATGCTATCTGAGGCCTATAACCTCTAGATTCAAAAAGGTACTTTTGTTTTCACCCATATCACCATATGGGAAAGTGAACTGTATGCTAACTATTCAACAAGTAATTTCCCAATATAACCCTGGGATGTACGGATGGATGGTCAAGCAGATGAACTGACGAATGGATATGGATATACACAGATATAGAAGTGTACATATATAAAGTGCCTATGAATTAGGGAGGAAAGAAAAGTGTATAATATTATAAGCGGATGCACTATTAAAGCCCCACAAAGGAAAAGCATAGTTAGAAGTTTCTCACAAGCATAATTTCTCTGGTTTAAAGCTTAGAATATTTTTGCTTCTCAAGTATTTCCCTCTCTTCTAAAACTTGTATATGAAATCTGCATGAATGCAATGAAAAGCAAATATTATAGATAATGGATTGCTGTGATACTCAGATGTTTGTAACATGTTTCTTAATTAAATACACACATATAACACACTGGGATGCTACCCCCAAATAAAGTAACCAGAGCTCCTTGGAGAAACAGCCTGTTTCAAAGTTGAAGCCCAAGATACACAAGTTGGGCCCTGAACATCTTGTAATGGCAAAATGCAAGAAAATTATAGATCGGGTCAAAAGAATTAAGGTAGCAACCTGAAAAGACACCCACTGACCAGAGATGAGGAAATTTAAGCATCAACAAAAATAATAACCTCATCCTTTAACAAACAATATTCAAAATCACACAAGCAAAGCCTCACTGGTCACACTTGGAAGATGCTGGGAAGCCAAATCATTATTCTGAAAACTAGTAAATAAAGGGGGGAAACTCACTCACATGTCCTGCCTTTCCTACATGAACTGTACTTCAGGGTGAGCAAATAAACAATGAGGGGAAGTTTCTCTGCATAGAATTAGTATAGATAATAATGAAAGAATGATAGAAAACATTCATTTCATAGCACATAAACAATTAGTAAATCTAGGCAATCCATAAATAAATCTTGTGCCTCCTGAAGGAAATAAACCATAACATCAGTGAGGTATTCTTCCTAAAACAATGAACCTAAATCTGATCAAGGCTTGGGATATTTTACAGGAAGTAGAGAAGATGGAGAAAGATGTTAACACGAAGGGGACATGATCAGTAGAATCCAGACTGGAGGAAATGCTACAGGAAAAAGCAGTTTCTTCTATAAATAAATTTTAATGGGGGGGAGGGAGGGGGAGAGAGAGAAGAAAGAAAGAAGAAAGAAAGAAAGAAAGAAAGAAAGAAAGAAAGAAAGAAAGAAAGAAAAGAGAGAAAAAGAAAAAGAAAAAGAAAGAAAAAGAAAAAGAGACTGACTTTGGAGGAACTTATAAATTAAAAGAGACATAAGAGATATGCCTACTAATTGCACTGGTGGACCTTAGTTTGATCTTAATTCAAACAAAAAAACCCCCAAAATAATGAGATAACTGGGGGAATTTGAACACGAACTTTATATTTGGTAATCCTAAAGAATCATTATTTTTAAAGTGTGGTGTTGAAATGTGTGTTTTAAGGAGTCCTTTTTTTCTACGGATACATACTGAGCTATTTATGAATAAAATGACATAATGTCCAGGATTTGTTTCAATAATCCGAACGAGTATATAGCTGAGACAAGACTGGCCTTGTATGATAATTATTGAAACTGAGTCTATGGGGGTTTATTACACCATCCTCTCTAGTTTTGTATATTTTGAAACTTTCCATAGTAAAAAGATACTAAAAAAAAAAAAAAAAAAAGACTACCAAGCATGTAAGCACTCTTTCTTTCCCAAGTTTTATTTTTCTGTGAGATGAATATTCTAAATTCGAGTATCAAGTAAGATGCCTGTGTGCCTAGAAAAATCCAGTAGTGGTGTAGATTGTGTGCATGGCAGTATATGTAAAAAAGTGACCTTTCTCATATCTTGATAAATCAGAAATATCTTTCCCATATTTTTTCTCTTCCCCAGCTTTCTCCCTACAAACCTACTCATACTGGCACATGAACTTACTTTTCCTGCCCCCATGAGTCAGTCAACTTTGTAATGCTATTCTATTTGAGCACAAATGGTGATATCTCTGTGAACAAAAGGTACCAGGAGAGTACAGGTGTGTGGAGTCACCAGAACAGCCCTATCTTTATCTACAATATGTAATCCCCTATTTGTTACACAAGTTGAAATGTTATTAAGAGAGTTAAGAAAGAGATACCATCGACTGCAGTTAACATTGAACTGAGTCAGGGACATCTTCCAATCATTGCACAGATTAATATTCTCCCTGTCATCCTTAGCCATCCAAACCCAGGAAGGCATGCCATTTTATGACATATATTATATTCCAATGTGTATGTCAACTCGTAAACTCTGAAATCTAGTGGCAGAGACTGGCCTATACATGGAGTCTTATTCCCGTATCCTAACTCCAAAGAGATGATAGAGTTTCAAGAGTATAGTACATGGTATACAGGGGTAAAAATAAATAGCAGTGCAAAGGGAACTTTCTTTTCTTTCTTCTATTCAAGCATAAAATCCATATTGTTCCATGGAATTATCAGCTATCGGTTTATCAGTACTAGAAAGAATAAAAAGGCAAGTAGTTCTTATAGAAGCCAATGTGCATTTCTTTCACAAAGAAGCAATCCAGTCAGTCATGAGTGAGACTTCTCCACTTTTCATAGAACTTTAATTTATGGAGTTTTGCCTAGTCTTCTGGGTTCTTTTCAACTTCTGTATATCAACCTTTGTTCCTCGCCCTTTTTTTTTTTTTTTTTGGTGGGGTAGCGGGGGAAGGGGGTATTTTTTTTCTTAACACTTTACAGAAAGATACAGAACAGAATAATTACCATGTCAAAAAAGGATTTCTCATTTGTATAAAGCAACAATATAGGATTCGACAAAGTGGAAAATATTCAAGGAATGTAGGTTCTGCCCATGGCTAAATTATATAACCAAAAATACCACTTAGATGGTCAACATCAGGTTGCATAGTGACATGCTAGATCCATCTGGCTGAGTTACCGAAAAGTAAGTTTTGAGAGTTCATCCAATACCAGATAATTAGGTTTCCTTATTGTTTTCCACTGAATGTTTGACTGAAGGAACCAAACTGACAGTTGGTTTTGGCATTAAGTAGAGTTGACTCGGGCTCAATCCTACAGCTAGTCAGAGTAAGAACCTCTCTCCACCTAAGTGTCGCCATACACTTCTAGTGGGAAGTAGGAATTACATTTTAGTGTTTAGTCCACGAATTTTTGTTTTATAATGTTGTCCATTATCTCTGATAACAAAATTGAAGTAAATATACTTAATCTCTGGCATCAGAGATATTGCTTTACATATAAATACTTTCCTTACCCACTGGTATTTATTACTTTTATTTCATTTTTTAATTTGGTCAATTTATATTTATGAGACATGCTATGACTTCATTACAAACCTATGTTTTACCAAATATCCATAACAGATTTATTCTCTACATGGATTTATATTAAATAGTAGAGATGAGTACTGGGAAAGCCCTTTTATTCCCCTTTACTCTCTAAAAGCTAAATGAGGCCTGAATTTTCAAACCTAGAAATTCATTCTTTTGACTCAGTCTCCTCAAGGACTGGGTTATACTTGATGCTTTTTTAGTTACTTATGCACTAAAATCAATGACTACTGTGTGAAATCCTTTCCTGCAAGAAGCCTAGCCAGAGACGAGAAGGCAGGGCAATGAACAGAGGGAAAGAGGAGAGAAAAGAAGGGAAGGCACTAAGGAAAGAAAGGAAACAAAATGGTCAAGGGCAATAGGTGGAGAGTCCAAGATAAACCATGAGTAATTCATACTCTTGAGTAAGACCAGTTGATATACTACCATTCCCACTTAAAATACAACGTTATGCCCATTTGGAATTCTGATTCTAGGTTCCAAGGATCGTTTCTGGATTTAAAAGCAAAGAAATGAAAGCAATTACTAAAACTGCTTGTGCGCCGAGGCAAAAACCACTAGGTAGAAACAAACAGAAAACCTATTGGCTCGTTATATACATCCCTGATCTGAGGGATCAGCATAATTATCAATACAGTTTTCCAAGGGTAGGTTCCAGAGTTGCTGTTTTAATAGAAATAAAAAAATGCTCTTGAATGAAGTTCAAAAGCCTACAAAAGTTAATATACTGCTGATACATGATTTTTACTTTGTTAAAAATAAGTATTAAAGAATAATTTCATTTAGATCAAGTTTATTTTTTCCCTTTTGGGAAACAGAACATTTTCTTCATTGGACATGATTTTCTTATTCTTTTATATATGTGCAGTTTAGATAAATAGTTGAAATTGAAATCCACAGGTGACACGAATCTATCAAAAGATCATTGCTCTTTCATTAAGTGTATACCAGAACCAATCTTTTTTTATTTTTATTTTTTGAATCATCTAGATGTTTCTAGAGGCAGCTTTACTGTCTGGCATATGATGACTTTAATTGGCGTCAGTGTGGTTCCAGCATTCTTGATTCTTCCTCTAAGTCCTATTTTATGCTGCAATGTTAAGCTTTCAGTTGCCAATAACACTCCTTAAACAAACATAAACACATTAATTTCTGGCTAGCATCAAAATAACTAATTCCAACTCCACTGTAAATGTTTTACAGATAAGAATTTCCAGTGAAAACTGATTTCTGAACATGTCCCTAGCACACTTTTTCAGGCTCATCACAGTTCCAAATTTCCCATCTGCGTACATTCTGAAAATTCAGCATACCAACTGCATAACAACACTGGACTGTAGAGTAAATAAACATGTTCCGTAGTGCAACAAGCCATTTCTAACCTTTGCAAATCGGGGAAGACTTGGTCACATTCCTTACACTCCTGGATTGCATGTATGTCTCGGAGATCGTTTTCACTTTCGAGTTTTTGTTGAAAGTCTTCTTCCACCATTGAAAATGCTGAGTGAGGGGTACTGCAGGGGAACTTCTGGTGATCTGCTAGTTCAGCCTTGGACTCAAAGAGCTGGTCACAGTCCTCGCAGCGATACTGCCGTTCTTCTGTGAAAATAACTCAGATGTTACCAGGCCTGGGCCGCTCAGGAAGTGTCACCACAAACCAGCAGTTCTTACCGAATTATGGAAGACATACTAGAAATTATTTCATTGTTATTTCCACCACTGCCATTTTTAACCTGACTTAAAAGTAATACCTGTAGAGAAGCCAGGACGCAGCCTAGCAGGATAATGTGGTTCCTGTGGCTTCAGTATAGCCTGTGGAGCCTCCTTACCAGATAAGAACGTTATGGCTTAAACCCTTCCAGGGGTTAATATTCATTAAAAGTAATAATGACCACTGACTGCATCATCTATTTCCTCGACCCTGTTCATGGGTTCCTGATACTTCTCAAAACCCGATCAGGAGAAACTGTAAGTCGGATTTTTGTCCCATTCTCAGATAAGGCTACTAAAGCTCAGATTAGTCCAGTAACCAAGAGCCAAGGGGTCATGCCAGGATTTGAACCCATCTCTGTCTCATACCCTTCTCACTGGGCCATGTTACCTAGAGGGCACATGGGACACTGAGTCCCCATCTGAGTCATGCTGATACCTGGTTAACAGCAGTAAACTTGGATGTTTCATTACATTTCCATTACCACGTAACGGGACACAGGATGTTTTTAGTACCCTTCAAGGCTAATTTATGTTAACCTAGGGTCAGTGCTAATTGGCAAGGCCCTCTTAAACAGCAAATATATGCATTTGCACTCTGAATCAGAAAGATAAATAAGTGGTCATAGTGGGAACTAGTGATAACAAGGTTATAAAGTGTCAGGTAGTGATGGTATTGTTCCTATTCTTTCCACCTGAATCATTTTTAGCCTGCTCGTGAGGCCATACTATGCACAGCCCACACAGACGCAATCACAGAAGGCTTGAAAACAGCTCACAATGCTGAAATGACACCCAGGGCAACGTGACACATAATCCCTGTTTTATAGCCCTATAGCCAGGACCTATAGCCAGTTGTTCACTGACTGACTGTTTTTGTGGGAATATTTTAGTCACCAACAAATGCTAGGCATTTTGCTAGGGAATGACTACATAAGAAACTCAAGGGGATAGACATGTGAACAAATAGAGTGTGATATACTTTATGACCAAAGCATGCATAGGTCCTAAAGGAGCCCAGAGGAACGTGTCTAATCCATCTACTCTGAGGGAGACAGGTTCAGAAAAGGCTTTTTAATGAGCGAGCATCCGCAGGTGAAGTGGGATGAGAGAGGACATCTCAGGCAGTGGAAACAGCATGGACAGGTGGTAAAGGAAAGGAAGAGCATGGCAGCTTGTGGAAAGGCAAAGCTGTAGTAAAACAGGGCAGGTCGATAGGGTGCATGTAGGGAAGCAATGGGAAGTGAAGGAAGAGAGGGTAGCAGGTCACTAGGGGTTTTTGGGGCCCATGCTAAGAAGGGAGCAGAAAACCACTGAAAGTCAGAAAGCCTAGCTATAGTGTGAGAAGTTAAGTAGAAGTCAAATGGGACACCACCACTATAATCCACACACAATACTGGTTTCATTTAAACTAAACCAATAACAGGGAGCCCAGGATGGTAAAGAAATCACTGTGTAGATTTAATATGTGTGTCAACTTTGGACGGTAGAGGGTTAAGGATTTATTCTAAAATAAATCACCTCAGCTCTAAAGTCAGGTTTCTTGATGACATTTTCCAGGTAATGGAAATATTTCCTATAATCTGTCACACTATTCACATATTTAAGATCTACATTTAGGGTGTGCCTGGGTGGCTCAGTTGGTTAGGCATTCAATTCTTGATTTTGGCTCAGGTCATGACTTCAGGTCATGAGACTGAGCCCCTGTGCTGGGCGTAGAGTCTGCTTGGGATTCTCTCTTTCCCTCTGCGCCCCCTCTCCCCCACCCCTGCTTGCTCTCACTCTCACCCTCTCTAAGAAAAAAAAAAGAAAAGAAAAAGAAAAAAAGATCTACATTTAGGATCTCACCAGCAGTCTGAACACAAACAGAACCTCCAGGCCACAGAATGGATGGAAAAGGCCTAGTTTTTAGAGATAGCAAAACCTTGGTTTGAAAGCTGATTCTACTACTTTCTAGTCATGTGGTCTTGACCAATTTACCTAGCTTTAGGTAGCCTCAGTTTTTCTGTGTGTGTAACGGAAATGATTCCTCTCCTACAGGCTTGATCTATGTGTAAGACCAAATGAGATAATAAATGGAGAGCATATATCTGGTATACAGTAGGTGTGTGATGCATGTGTTTTATTTTCTCTCTCCTAAGCAATGTGAAATCCTAGGAGTATAAAACACAAATCACCATTAAACACCATAAACATTACATATAACATATATGGTGTATATATATATGGATATGGATATGACACAATGAAGACAAAAAGCAACTGATGGGTTCAAGAGTGTTGTAAAGGCAGGTCATTTATGAATGGTAGCCCTAAAAGAAGAATAGTCACTTCTATTTAGTTTTTTAGAATATTTATATTGTTAAATATTTATATTTAGAATTTAGAATATTTTGAATATTTATATAACTAGAACACTTAGAGTATTTATGTATCTAGAACATTTATATTTCTAAAAATAATTCTTTGAAAACCTTTTAAGACCTAACATTCACCAATGAAAGTTGCCTTACTCTAGAGAAAGCTCAGATTACATTTCTTATCATATACACCCTCAGCTCTCACACACCCCATTGGACGAGACTCCCTATTCAGGCTGAAACTCTACCAGGCTGGTTGAGAACACTGGATTTCTAAGAAGAAAAGAATTTCCAAAAGGTTCCCAAAAATACAACTGCTATAATCTACAAAAAAGGCAGAATGCAGCCCAACCAAAGGAATAAATGTTCAAGTAAAGAGCCAACCAAGACTGCTGGCATCCTTCGGAGGAGCTAAAGAAGGAGAGACTGAGGTTTTCCCGTTGGGAATGCCAGAGGGATGGCAGGTGGCTCGATCCCCACCTGTCAGCTAAGTTGGTGTGAGTAACCCTTCCCAGTGGTCCTTCCAGCTAAAAAACACTCTAAAGACGCCACTAGATTATGCTGAACCAAATCACGTTATATTAGGAGAGAAAAGTAAGAACGAGAAAGAAAACAGTACTCAATTTTTAACCCAATGATACAAATCAATATGGGTAGAATTTTCTCTTTATCTGTCCTGTACACATATAACTAGTAAATATAATTGTTCAGATCCCCCCTTCATTTGATTTAGAATAGGTCTCTGGCAAATAAAAATTTCTCTGGCTGTAAAATCTCCTCTTGTGTACTTTTCTCCCAATCCCCATCCCTTCAACCCTCTCCCATATGGTCATGCTGGCTAGGATTTTTCTCCCATTGACACAGTTTTCCCAGTAACAGAACATAGATGGGAAGAAACAGCCACCAGATTTATGAAAGTACAAACTGAGTTCCCTGAAATGACTTTTGTACAGTGAAAGGATTCTCCCCATAGCTAAGGCATTGACAAAAAACTTAACCATGTGGTATATCTCAGTTGAAATAGTCAAAATTCTTTTCACCTCCACTTTAGGGAAAACCTCTGCTGACCTGGGCTTCAAAGTAACATCAGATGTCAAGCCAAGGAAAGAGCCAGTCGCAAGAGAAAGAGTTTGTTAAAACCGATGTTAAAGAGCCAGGAAAACTGATACATGCCACGTGCAATGGACTCATGGGGATGCTCCATCACAGGGACCGAATGAGGGTAGTGGGGACAGTGGCGTGAGCAGTACTAACCGTGGATATCCGGCGCCATAGTTTCATGGGGATAGTCTTCACTCTTCATGAACAGCAGGAGCTCCTCTCCCGGTGCAATGTCTGTGACTACTCTATAAAATATCTTCAGTAAGACCAGAAATGGATGAGATGGGAAGAGAGAAAGAAGTGAATGTTAAGAAAGGGCAAGATATCCACTAATATCTGTACATTTTCTCAGACCTGAACATATTTCTTTTTATTTTTATCAAAAGAAGCGTGACTTCCTGTTTTGTGTCCTGAAAATTAGCCTTCTGATGACAGATGGAAAGCTGTGACTCTCATGCCAATTCACAAAGCTCTTCCAAATCCTACTTCACCAATCAAATTGTCTTCACACAAGGCTTTCTGTGTCACATACACCTTGTTTAGTATTTAGTGAAGAACTTTCCCTTCTCTGAATTCCTCACTGTAGTGAACCCCCCGCCCAGGTATTCACAGAGCGGAATGTGTCTGGCATTATTCAGCAGTAGCCTTGCAAAGGGCGGCAAGGGCACAATGACCTCTCTTAACATGTCCTCTAAGGCAGCCACCTTCTCAACAAGGTGTTTTTAAGGCAGCAGATTGGAAGGACATGACATAAAGAGCTGAGCTGTAGTGAATATAGTCAAAGGAGAACCTTTTGTTTTTAAAAAGCTGAATCCCCCTCTCACCAATCATCAGTACTCCCAGATCCAGGACTTGCCCTCATGCCCCAGCTCCTGACTCCCATTCTCTGAAAGCAGGCGATATGCCTTTAATTGATTCATTCACTAGGGTGGTAGGGGGTGGTGCTTATTCCCCTGCTTTCTAGCAAAATTCTGAGGAGAGAAAAAATTTAATAAATCTGTTAATGACTGACTAGAAGTTGTGGGGCAAATATGGACCTGTAATTTCTGAGAGCTGCCTACCTTTCCCCTCACCAGCTCTGTGACCTTAGGCGAGTCATTGTCCAATTTACTTGTCCAGGTTTCAGGGTTCTTTTAATCTATAAAAGCATCTTAATTCACAATATATACAAATAGCTAATTATTATGTTGCACACCTGAAACTAATATAATGTTATATGTCAATCATATCTCAATAAAAAAGCATTTAATCATGAAAATACTTAAGGTACTTATTCATTTTACCACAAAAAATGTTCTTAGTTTTTAATCTTATTCTAAGATTATTTATTAAACAACAACTCCATGACCAGACAGAGGTTGTGGAAGAAAAAATGAGATTATACAATTAATTGGTGAAAATGGGACCAGTAACATTCACACACACACACACACACACACACAGTTCCACCAGAGCAACAAAGACAATTCAACAAAACTAGGGATTCAATTCTGCTCAGTCTCAATCCAATGGGGAGAAAACTCACATAACACAAATTACTAAGAACTATGAGAATATCTTTAGAGGGTATTGCTTTAACTGTTGGTTTCTTGCAGGATATTTGACATTTCAAATTGAGAAAAACTGAGTAAGTTAATACCTTATAAGATCAACAGAAATGTGCATAACTTTCCTGGTATTTATCTATTTGTTTATCTTTCGAAAAACAGAAGACATCAAATATAAGTATGTGCCTCTTTATTCCAGTAGGTGGCTCTAAAGTCCAGTTGTTTATTTTTCTATAAAAACATCACAGCACCAAATTCTGCTAAATCCAAAAAATCACTCAATGAGGAGTGTTTTCTGCCTAGTTTCTTTCCTGTCAAAATAAAATCATTTTTTATTCAACAGTAATTCAACCATGTGAAGTTGGTTTATAGAAAATAATGCTAAATGCAAAATGTTGCTAGAATATGTTATATAACCTAAGATTCTTTATATCTACCCATAGATAGGCTCAGACTATCTTAAGAAAATTACTCCTTGTTATGTGCTATTTCCACAAAAACCAGTGAGTGTGCAGTTTGTATCTTATTAACCCTCACCTGCACATTTTCCTGTTTTGGGAAGTACACTGAGAGGAATAGTTCTGTTCAAAAAGTTATCAGGTTGAGACAAATTAATGTGCATTTGCTTTTTTCCCCCTAAACCTTCCAGTTAAATGCTTATAAGCACCCCATTTCATTCTGGAGTTCTATTTCCCTTTAGAAAACAATGGACTTCTCTCAACAGTTTGAATCACCTCTTTTTTTGGCATCTCTCAAAGGTTTAACTTATTAGCTTCCTTTCCAACAACATGTTGACATTTGAATTGTGACATATTAGAACTTTTCGGTGGCTTCTCGGAAATAGTGAGGTTAAAGAGACAATACCCTGCAAGATCGTCACACAGGGCGATTGTCTCTGTTGGGGAACGCTGCTTAGACACACATGCCAGGTCATTTTAAGGAAGTATTGTGATATCATGATTTCTTTGTGGTCCACTCTGAATCACGTCTCTTAATTCCATTTCAGATTGACTCAATCCAGTGTGAACAGTCCAAGAAACAAAAGAAAATGATAGGTACATTTTAAGTATAGAATATAGAGACAATTCTCTTTGCAGGGACATCGATCGCTACTGTAATTCCCTATAAGCGTCCAGACTGTCATGTGAGGAATATTGAGTGCATAAAAAATAAAGGACACGGAAGAGTGTTGATGTTGGCTTTATTTACTGGAGGTAAAAGGTGACATTCCAGGCCATGAAAGGCAAGGTAAAGTAGAGTGGGTTTTAACTTCAGGGTGTTCTTTTAGATTTTAAGTGAATTTTTACGGTGCTCATGAAACCGAGGTTTGAAAAGAACTGGCAAGCGCCAGACGTAATGAGGGCAGATTCTGGGCACGCTTCCTCATATAGCAATAAGAATGTGCCTCGAAGTCCCATCTACCACACCCTTACAAATCTAGTGGGTTTTTTCGAGGTGTTGCTACCACTTGTGATCCTCTTTATATCTCATCTCTCAGGATCTTAGAGAAATTCGGTAACATTATATTTTTCCACCTATAATTACAATGACCCCAAAATATAATTTGAATACTCGAATCCAGAGATGTCTACCTATAAAGTTAATTTATGTTCTAGCAATAATAATTCACCAGCAGCCTTGGAGAAGTGAGGGGAGGAGTTTAAACAAAAACGTAATGACAATTTGTTGCCTCAAAACAACTACGTGGAGGAATGATGGAATGTAATCTTGGAGGAATCAAGCCTTTCAGAAAATCAGATATCACACATCTCTACTTTTATATTATAAAATAGGTCTTTCAGCAAATAAAAATGCAATAAATAACAGAAGTGATTTATGTAGCTTTTTCCCACAGGTTTGTGTATTAAGTATTCTTGGCCATGCTTATAAAAAATATAACCATAATGTCTTTAAACTCAATGTATTCTCAAAATCTCAGCTCTATTGCAGTCCTGCAAATTATATGTCATCTGAGTTATGTATCAGAAGCAGAGATCCTACCAATATAACCTCTCCGGTTTTTGAGTTGGAGAAAAATGGAAGGAAATCATTACTCTGTTAAATTCCATAAAAGAAAAGGTCTCTTCTCCCATCAGGGGGTTTTACGGAAAAAGTTATCTGGATCCAAAATAAAACTGTCCTGAATCTGGGATTTTGTGAGGAATTCAACTCAAGTATATAAAGAGTCTCAAAGACTTAGAAAAAGTTCAAATTGATACAAAAAGGGTTGTTGATTTATTATTTTGCTGTGTCTCTCTCGGAATGTTTTATAAGAAGGAAAAAAACTCAATTCCTCACAGTATTAGTTGAAAGATAAGAGGAACGGGGCCTTAGAGTATAAGAAAATAGGAATATATAAAAATTCCGTTCTTTTAAAAGTCATGATAAGCATTTTTAAAATGTGTTAACTCCTCTAGAGTTTTCTCTTTGGTAGCAAATAACAAATTCCAGAAATACAACATGTTATGACCATGACCTAATTGTGCATACATCTGACACTTTTGAAAGTTAAGGTGTTTTTTTTCATTTTATCATATAAAAAATTTTAATTTCCCAATATCTTTGTGGACTCTTTTTATTTTTCCAGAAATCTATTTTTCTATCTTTGTAAGTATGGATATTATATTTAGATCTCTGGATGCCTCAATTTATAAGAATAAATATTTACAGTAAATGTTTTCATTACTAGATCATTTTGTACTTTTTTAATTTTCTAAATTTGCTAAAATAGCATAGTAGTAAAATTTCTAAATTTTTTTTTAATTCTAAATCACTAGATTTTGAAAATAAAACTAGAAATTCCCCAAATTGTTCACTTTTATTAGTGGTAAAATTCACAATTTAAGGCATAAATTTAATATTATATTCATCTATATAGAAATTACTCTAAACATAATTATTATATTTAATGTATTTTAATCAAACCTTGAAACCAGTTCCAAATGTCAAACAAATATCCCTTCAGTTAATATTTGCAAGGCTAAGCTAAGGATAAAAAAAGGCAGTGGTGATTGTATTTGATTTAACAAATTTTAGACTTCCAAAAGGTGTATTTTCATACAATGTTATGTATAAGCATGTACGTGCTTGGATATGTTATATATTTTTATATGTGACCTATAAATGTGGCAAAGTATACACCTCGGGAAAATTTCAAATTTGCATAAAATATTAGCAATCTCATATTTTATCTATTAATATAAATGAATGTTTAATGGCATATGCTTAATTCTAATTATATATCATATAAGGATATGTAATAATATATTATGTATAGTACATTGTATATATGTTATATATAGTTATATATTATATGTAGTTGGAATTGGAATTAATCATATTTTATTAAATATTCATGTTCTTTTGTTATTTAAGTCCAAGAGCACAAGCACTAAAAAGAGTATGGATGCTTACAAGCATTCTGATAGGAAAGTTAATAGGCTATAAAAGACTTCAGACGAATTCTGTTTTATACTGTCAAGGCCTGTGTTCAACCTAGTCCTCCATCAAACAGACAATGCTACTATTTGTATTTATAAATGATAATAATGTGGGTTCTTGTTTATTATCCTATAAAATAGAAAAATCTAGAATCTGTCAGACCAGACTTACAGTCTAGTTTGCTGTGCTTGGATCAATTTAAAGTATTGTGCTTGTACTATTGAGACAGAAGAGAAATTCAGTGCACAGGGGGGAAAACAAGAAAAAA